CTGGTGGTGACAAAATCTCTCTGCCTTTGCTGGTCTATAAAGGATTTTATTTCTTCTTTGCTTATGAAGCTTAGTTTGGCTGGCTTTGAAATTCTGCATAGAAAATTCTTTTCTTTAAGAATGTTGAATATTGGCCCCCACTCTTTTCTGGCTTGTAGGGTTTCTGCTGACAGATCTGCTGTTAATCTAATGGGCTTCCCTTTGTGGGTAACCCAACCTTTCTCTCTGGCTGCCCTTTAACATTTTTTCCTTTATTTCAACCTTGGTGAATCTGATGATTTTGTGTCTTGGGGTTGCTCTTCTTGAGAAATATCTTTGTGGTGTTCTCTGTATTTCCTGAATTTGTATGTTGGCCTGTCTTGCTAGACTGGGAAGTACTCCTGGATAATATCCTGAAAATTGTTTTTCAACTTGGTTCCATTCTCCCAGTCACTTTCAGGTATACCAAATCAAACATAGATTAGGTCTTTTCACATAGTCCCATGTTTCTTGGAGGCTTTGTTCATTTCTTTTCACTCTTTTTTCTCTAATCTTGTCTTCTCACTTTATTTCATTGAGTTGATCTTCAATCTCTGATATTCTTTCTTCTGCTTGATTGATTTGACTATTGATACTTGTGTATGTTTCATGAAGTTCTCATGCTGTGTTTTTCAGCTCATTTAGGTCATTTATGTTCTTCTCTTAACTGGTTATTCTAGTTAGCATTTTGTCTAACTGTTTTTCAAGGTTCTTCGCTTCTTTGCAATGGGTTAGCACATGCTCCTTTAGCTTGAAGGAGTTTGTTATTACCCATCTTCTGAAGCCTACTTCTGTCAATTCATCAAACTTACTCTCTGTCCAGTTTTGTTTCCTTGATGGTGAGGAGTTTTGATCCTTTGGAGAGGAGGCATTCTAGTTTCTGGAGTTTTTAGCCTTTTTGCACTGGTTTTTTCCCTTCTTTGTGGAGTTATCTACCTTTGGTCTTTGATGTTGGTGATCTTCAGATGGGGTCTCTGAGTGGATGTCCTTTTTGTTGATGTTGATATTAATCATTTCTGTTTGTTAGTTTTCCTTCTAACAGACCCCTCAGCTACAGGTTTGCTGGAATTTGCTGGGGGTCCTCTCCAGACCCTGTTTGCCTGGGTATCACCAGCAGAGGCTGCAGAACAGCAAAGACTGCTGCCTCTTCCTTTCTCTGGAAGCTTCATCCCAGAGGGCCACCTGCCAGATGCCAGCCAGAGATCTCCTGTATGAGGTGTCTATAAGCCCCTACTGGGAAGTGTCTCCCAATCAGGATACATGAGGGTCAGGGACCAACTTGAGGATGCAGTGTCCCTTGTCAGAGCTTGAATGCTGTGCTGGGAGATCTGCTGTTCCCTTCTGAGCTGTCAGACAGGGCTGTTTAAGTCTACTAAACCTGTGCTCACAGTCACCCCTTCCCCCAGATGCTCTCTCCCAGGGAGATGGGGGTTTTATATATAAGTCCCTGAATGGGGCTGCTGCCTTTTATTCAGAGATGGCCTGCCCAGAGAAGAGGAATCTAGAGAGGCAGTCTGGCCACAGCGGTCTTGCTGAGTTGCAGTGGGCTCCACCCAGTTCACACTTCCCAGCCACTTTGTTTACACTGTGAGGGTAAAACCACTTACTCAAGCCTCAGCAATGGTGGATGTCCCTCTCCCACCACCCAAGTGTCCACTCAAGTGTCCCAGGTCAACCTCAGCCTGCTGTGCTTGCAGCAAGAATTTCAAGCCAGTGGATCTTAGCTTGTTGGGCTCCATGGGGGTGGGACCTGCTGAGCCAGACCACGTCGCTCCCTGGTTTCAGCCCCCTTTCCAGGGGAGTAAATGCTTCTGTTTCACTGGTGTTCCAGGTGCCACTGGGGTTTGGAAAAAACAAAACAAAACTCCTGCTGCTAGCTCAGTGTCTGCCCAAATGGCCACTCAGTTTTGTGCCTGAAACCCAGGGCACTGGTAGCATAGGTACCAGAGGGAATCTCCTGGTCTGCTGGTTCTTAAGATCATGAGAAAAGTGCAGTTATCTGGGCTGGAATGTACTGTTTTTCCTGGTACAGTCTCTCACAGCTTCCCTTGGCTAGGGAAGGGAAATCCCCCAACTCCTTGTGTTTCCCAGGTGAGGCAATGCCCCACCCTGCTTTGGCTCACCCTCTGTGGGCTGCACCACTGTCCAACCAGTCCCAAAGGGATGAACCAGGTACCTCAGTTCGAAATGCAGAAATCGTCACTTGCCTTCTGTGTTGATCTCACTGGGAGCTTCAGATTGAAGCTGTTCCTATTTGGCCATCTTCAGTTTTAAGCGATCTGTTTTTTGAAAAACAGATCTCAACTTGTTACTGGCCTCACAGAGAAGGAATACTTGACTATGAAGCACAAAAGTTCCATACATCCAGAATACAACATTATGACCTGGTCTAGACCCACCTAGTCATGGAGTCAGATAGAAATGATATATTGGGATCAAACTTAAACAGGACCTTAAGACATGAGTAAGCTGCATGAGCAGTGTTATGGTCTGAATATTTTTGTCCCTCCAAAATGTATATATTAAAGTTTAATTACCAATGTGATGCCATTAGGAGCTGGGCTTTTGGGAGGAAATTAAGTCATAAGGGTAAAGCACTCATGAATGGGATTACTGCTCTTGGAAGTATAGATACAAGAGCTTGCTTTCTCTGCTCTCATGTGAAGATGTAAAGAGAACAATGCCACCTGCAAACCAGGTAATGGACCCTCACTAGATAATGAATCTGCTGGTAGCTAGATCTTGGACCTCTCAGCCTTCAGAACTGTAAGAAATAAATGTTTGTTTAGGCCACTAAGTTTATGTTATTTTATAGCAGCCTGAACTGAGACAAAAGACATCTCAGACCCCATGTTATCCACAACAACTGCACTAGCGTGTCCCTTCCTCAGCTTGTCTATGGCAATGGGGGGGGGTTTCATAGGACCAGCTGAAAGAGGAGGAAGAGACATGGGCTTCGTTTACAGATAGGTCAGTTATTATTTGAGTATAAACTAAAAATGGATGCTAACTGCATCACAGATGTATCTGAGGGGTAACCTTGAAAGACAGTGAAGATGAAAAATCTTCCTAATGGGTGAAGCTGTAAGGAGTGCACTTGATTATTTTCCATGACAGAAGAGGTGGCCTCATCCACTGCCTATAAGATATAGAAAGATTCATGGGCAATGGCCCTTGACCTGGTCATTTAGTCAGGAGTCAGGAAAAAAAAAGGAAGGTTGAAGACAAGAAGATCCATGTTACAGGTGATGGACATATGAGAATAGGTAGAGTATAGTGATTTTTGTTAACATCCACTACAGAGCACTCACCATAAAAGAGACACCAAGCAACCAAGTAGAGAAAATTACTTAGTTGGTGAAATTGGTATGGTGAACACATATGAAGTGACAATGTTGGCAAAGAAGGGGACTATGTATAGACCCAGCAGGATAGACTACCACTTACAAGACTGATCTAGTTACTACTGCCTCTGAATGTTCAACCTGTCAGCAACAGAGACTAGCATGAGCTCCTGATGTGGCAGTACCCCTCAAGGACACCAGCTGGTTCCTTGGTGGCATTTCAAGTATACTGTTCTCCTTTAATGTTTGCAGGCTCAGTTGTGTCCTCACAGGGATGTATTATGTCATTCTAACTTGCTTTTCTGCACTCAGCCTCAGCCAGCACCATAATCCAGGGGCTTACAGAATCCCTGATCCATAGGCCTGGAATCACATGCAACATAGCATCTGACTAAGGGACTCACTTCACAGTGAAAGAGGTGTGGGAAAGAGCAATGGTTAGGGCAGGCTGAGGACCTACAGTCTGCCTCGTACAACTGCCACCAAATTTAGACTCCCATTTGCCATTAAACATCATGGAAGATCTGCAGAGTGAGCAGCAGTGGATGCTGCGATGCCACCAGTGCCAGAAGAAAGAGCCACAGGCCCACATCCAGAGCATGAAGAACTTTGTCCTCAGGAGCGACAAGAAGAAAAGAAAGCAGTTGCTCCTAGATGTGGCTGAGATGGAGCAGAAGCACCAGCAGGAGTTGGGGAAGTTCCAAGACGGCAGCAACCTCGATTCTGTCACTGAAGATCTAGCCAAGACGGATCTGGAAAACCAGCCTCCCCAGCCTCCCCGTCTCTTTGAGGAACACAGAACGTGAGAAAGAAGGGTGGTTTTGGAGAGGGAGCCCAGGAGAGGATCTTCCAGGTCGAGATGCAGCACTTGGCCAGCTTCAGGTGCGAGGAGGAGAAGCTCTGTGTATTCCCGGGGGCCAGGAATCTGGAGATGAAGATATCCCAGTCGACCGCCATGTATGACCAGCTGCTGTCCTCGGTGTCAGCAGAGAGCCTGCATGGACCACACCGCTAACTACGTGCAGAGGCACACTGACTGCTTGCAGCCCGACTTCAGTGACCCCAGAACCCTCAATGCCTAAGGTGGCAATGACTTCATGAGCTACTGTGACGACACCGTGCTCAGCGCATGGTGATGAGGCAGCGGGGGCTGAGGGCCCTGTCGCGCGTCCCGCAGTCCCCCATGGAGGCAGCAGGGGCTGAGGGCCCTGTCGCATGTCCTGCAGTCCCCCATGGAGGCAGCAGGGGCTGAGGGCCCTGTCGCACGTCCTGCAGTCCCCCATGGAGGCAGCAGGGGCTGAGGGCCCTGTCGCACGTCCTGCAGTCCGCCATTGAGGCGATCCAGGCCGACTCACTCGTCGTCGACATAAGGGAGGAGTCCGCCAAGAAGCCGCTCACCCTGGTCCACCTGCACCAGGCCTGCAACCCCGGGGAGTACCGCAACTCCGCGAAGTCGCTCGAGGTCGTCAGGATGCGACTCCGTTCCTCTTCCAGACCTGACGGTGCCGAAGACCTCCCACCTTGCTGTCGCAGCTGCTGTCGTCATCGGTTATCGCCGCCGCAGCGTCTCCTCAGGAGGCGCCGTCTCCCCTACCCGACGACCTCCTCTCCCGCCCATCCTCCGCTCCCCAGGCGCGCCCATTGCTTTTTTCCGGGTTTTCCTTTTACTCAAAATTGCCCCGCCCCGCCACCCCCACCTTCTTACCTTGCCATTCTACCTTCTCATTCCTTCGTTGTTTCTTTCATAGGATGGAGGAGAAATTTCCAGGCAAACACCTGCCTTGTACTACCCGAGCGACGTAAGTTGGGTAAGCTCTAACCTCTTGCCCTCCAAGGTCTTTACCTCCCTCACCTGCTGAGAATTGGCCATGTTGCAAATACCGCAGGAATAAAAAGAGAAATTTTAGGTTTCACGTATTCCGGTAAAAGTAGATTTCATAGACTAGCTCGGGGTCTTCAGATTTCCCTATGAATATATTGGATTACTCGTATAAAATTGGCGTTTATGTGATGGAAATGCTTCGTGAATGCCTTTTGCTGCGTTTTTGAAAAATAATTGTCAGGGTTTGTTTTTACTTAAACTGGGCTACTCAGGAGATGCCTCGAGTTGTGAACAAGGGCGCCATTAGTACTTTGTTTTGTTCTTTTATCAAAACTTGTGTGGTTCCAAATTAATTTTTGTTGCTCAGATGTTTGCTAAATTCTAAATAACAGCATTTGTTAAACTTGTAGATGTTATAGAGTAAGTTTACGTAAACTGATAGGCTAGATAAGGTTTAACATGTGAAAGATCTGAACTTAATTTTCTATATTAAAGGTAGGAAGGAATATGACTTTATTCAAGTAGTTGATTCATTTCATTACCTCTACAATGGGCATAAAGCAAAAAGAGAAACATGAGTATGTAGTTTAAGTTACTTTAAGGGGTGAAGATCTGAATCCAGTAAATTTCCTTTATTCTTAGATATATAAAAAGGCTATGACTTTATTCAAGTAGCTGACCTACCTTGTTATCAACTGGTATGGAGTGTGAAAGATACGAATGTAGTAACTTTCCTTATTTCTTGGAGATAGAAAAGTATCTGAAAAGAATTTTAGAAATATTAAAGTGTTCTGTTTTGTTCTATCCACAACTGACATGAGGCAAAAAAGTGAACAACATACTTTTTCCATTTGAGACTTGTTAATATCTTGAATTTTCCAAAAGAATTTAAAAGTGAAGTGATTTGCAGCAAACAATTTCTGAAAAATTTAATCTTTACTTTCTGCAATTTGGTGAGATTGCTTAACTTTGGAAATTCTTTTCACATTTCAAATGTTCTAAAGTAAAATATATACATTAAAAATATTTTTAACATGCAGTTTCTTTAAAAAGTAAAAGCAGTTAAAAAAAGAAAAAGAGGTGTGAGAGTGGGACCATAACTAAAGGTCCCACTAGTTTATCACTTGTCTCATCCATTCCTCCTTCCTTCTCCCTCCTTTCACTCATGTTAAACCACGATTTCTTTTCTCCAGTGAATCTCTTGCATGTCTAATTCCATCTTGGCAGCTGCTTCTAGGGGCAACTTGAAATAATAAACTTCCATACTTATAAAATACTTCAAGTTATACCTCAAAATCCACAACATACTTTACAAAATACCTCAAGCTCATAGCACAGATGAAGAGGCGATTGTTTTTCTTTAAAAATTTTTACTCCCAAAGCCATATATATATGCCATATATATATATATACATATATATATATATTACACATATTATATATATTAGTACACACACACACCCACACACACACACACACCCCTGGAGATTAGATTTAAAGAGATTCAGTCACTTGCCTGATGTCACCCAACTGGTAGTAGAAAGGCTTAATGAACCTCAGATCTTTTCCCAACATTCTTAATGAACATTTAAAAGGGATTCTGAATAAGATTACTGCATGTTTGTCATCAGAAACTTTGAAGGCCACAAGGCAGTGAGCCGATATATGCAAAATGGTAAAATAAAAACCCCTGTAAACCAATAATCCTATGTTTGGCAAAAATTGTCCTTCAAAAGCAGTGGCTCATGCCTGTAATCCCGTCACTTTGGGAGGTCAAGGCTAGTGTATAGTTGAGATCAGGACCAGTCTGACCAACATGGAGAAACCCCATCTCTACTAAAAAATGTAAAAATTAGCCTGGCCTGGTGGTGCATTCCTGTAATCCCAGTTACCTGGGAGGCTGAGGCAGACAATCGCTAGAATTGGGGAGGCAGAGGATGCAGTGAGCCGAGATTGCACCACTGCACTCCAGGCGGGAGACAGAGTAAGACACTATTTCAGAAAAATAAAAAAAAAGAACACCTGACAGAACAGAAGTAAAGAAACATAGGACTCAAACAAATAATCCAACTAGATCTAACACATATATAGAACACTCGACTCACAGAATTCATAGTCTTCTGAAGTGCATATGGGATATTTTTCAAGTTAGACCACATGAGACAAATTAATTCTCAATAGATTTAAAAAGATAGATATCATACAAAGTATCTTCTCTGACCTCAACAACACAAAATTAGAAATCAATAATGAAAGATAAACTATAAAATTTATGAATTTGTAGAAATTAAACAAAATGCTCTTAACCACTGGATCAAAGAAGAAATTAAAAGAGAAATATAAAATATTAAGAGACAAATGAGAATAAAAATAGCATGCAAAAACTTATAGGACACAGTGAAAACAATGCTAAGGAGAAAAAATTGTAGCTATAAATGCTTACATTAAAAAACAAGAAATATCTCAAATCAACAACCTAACTTTACAATTTAAGGAAGTAGAAAAAGAACAAAGTAAACCCAAATCCAGCAGAGGAAAGGAAATAAGATTAGAGCAGAGTTAAATACAATAGAGAATAGAAAAATAATAGAGAAAAATCAATGAAACCAAAAGTTAGTTCTTTGAAAAGATCAACCAAATTGACAAATCTTTAGATAGTAATCAAGAGAGGTTAAGGGTGACTATCCTAATAACAGACAAAATAGACAGAAAAAAGAAGACTAAAATTACTAAAATGAGAAATGAAAGTGGAACTGTTACTACCAATTCCACAGAAACAGAAAGAATTATAAGAAGAGCATACTATTAGCAATTATATGCCAGCAAACTGAAAAGCCTGTAAAATATACAATTACTAGAAATACAGACCTTATCACCACTAAGCCACAAAGAAGTAAAAAAAAATCTGAATAGACCTATAACTAGTTAGGAGGTTAAGTCAGTAATCAAATATCACTCAACAAAGAAAAACCCTGAACCTGATGGCTTCAATGGTAAACTTGACCAAACATTTAAAGGAGGACTAATACCAATCATTCTCAAATGTTTCCCAAAAGAATAAAGAGAAAGAAACACTCTTAACACATTTTGTGAGGCCAGCATTGCCCTGATACCAAAGGCAGAAAATTACGTTACCATAAAACTAAAGATCAATATCCCTTGTGAGTATTGATACAAAAATCCTCAGTAAAATACTAGCAAACCAAATTCAGCAGCATGTTGAAAGGATTATTTATCATGACCAAGTGAGATTTATTCCTGGAATGCAAGAATGGCTTAAAATATGAAAATTGATCAAAGTATTAGACCACATTAACAGAATGAAAGGAAACAAACCTGATCATCTCAATTGATGCAAAAAATTATTTGACAAAAATGAACACTCTTTTGTGACAAAAAGACTCAAAAAATTAGAAATGGAAAAAATACCTCAAAATGATAAAGTCACATTTAAAACATTCACAGTAAATATCGCATTTAATGATAAAACAATGAAAGCTTTTCCTCCAAAAGCAGGAAGAAGGCAACGATGCTTACTTTCACCACTTCTGTTCAACATGGTATTGTGAAAGTCCTAGCCAGAGCAATTAGATAAGAGAAGAGAAATAAAAGGCATCCAAATGGAAAAGAAGTAAAATGATCTCTGTTTGCAAATAATATGATCTTATATGTATAAAACAAAAAATCCACGAAAATATTAGAATTAATTAAGAAATTCAGCAAAATAACAGGATACAAGGTAAACATAAAACAGTTGCATTTCTGTACACTAACAATGAAAAATCTGAAAAAAAAAAAAAAAAAGAGGTAAGAAAACAGTTCCAGTTACAGTAGCACTTAAAAAGAATAAAGACACTTAGGAATTAACCAAGGATAAGGAGGTTGTACACTGAAAACTGTGAAAACTTTCTAAAATAAATTAAAGAAAGTATAAAAAAGTGGAAAGCATAAATAAATTTGAAGATTTAATATTGTTCAGATGTCAATACTACCTAAAGTGATTTATAGATTTAATGCAATGTTTATCAATATCCTAAATGACTTATTTTTTGCAGAAATAGAAAAACACATTCTAAAATTCATATGGAATCTCAAGTGACCCCAAATAGCCAAAACAATCTTGCAAAAAAGAATAAAGAATATATCCTGATTTTAAAACTTACTACAAAGCTACGAAAATTAAAACAGTGGGGCATAAAAACAGACATATAGAACAGTGGAATAGAATAGACAGTTCCAAAACATTCCTTGCATATATGGTCAAATGATTTTAGACAAGGGTGTCAAGACCATTCAATAGAGAAAAGACAGCCTTTTTAAACATGCAGTGCTGGGAAAACTGGATATGTCCTCATGCAAAAGAATGAAGCTGGATCCTTATGTAACATCATATATAAAAATTAATTCAAAATGGATTCATTAATTAATAATGTAAGACCTAAATCTATAAAACTCTTAGAAAACACAGGGCAGAATTTCACAACATTGGATTTGGCATGACACCAAAGGCACAGGCAATAATAACAAAAAGACAAATTGGAAGGCCAAGGTGGGTGGATCACCTGAGGTCAGGATTTCAAGACCAGCCTGGCCAACATGGTGAAACCCCATCTCTGCTAAAAATACAAAGAAAATTAGCAGGGCACCTGCAATCCCAGCTACTCAGGAGGATGAGGCTGGAGAATCACTTGAACCCAGGAGGCAGAGGTTGCAGTGAGTGGAGATTGTGTTACTGCACTCCAGCCTGGGCAACAGAGTGAGACTCTGTCTCAAAAAAAAATAAAAAGAAAAATTGAATTTAATGGCCAGGTGTGGTGCTCATGCCTGTAATACCAGCACTTTTGGAGGCCAAATTGTAAGGATCACTTAAGCCCAGGAATTCAAGACAAGCCTGGGCAACATGGCAAGCTCCCATCTTGGTATAAGAAAAAAAAAAAGAAAAAAATTGAACTTCATCAAAATGTAAAAATTTTGTGCATAGACATTAGCAACAGAGTAAAAAGACAACCAAAAGGGAAAATATGTACAAATCATCTATTTTATAAGAGATTAATATCTAGAGTATATAGAGAACTCTAAAACTCAACAACCAAATGATGCAAGCAATTCATTTCCAAAATGAGCAAAGAACTTAAATAGACGTTTCTACAAACTAGATATGTAAATGGCCAATAAGCCCATGAAGAGATGCTCAGCATCACAAATCATTAGAGAAATATATGTTAAAACTGTAAGGAAATACCACCTCATACCTATTAGGATGGCTGATATAAAAACGAACAGAAAATAGTAAGTGTTGGTGAGGATGTGAATAAATTGAAACTCATGCTTTATTGGTGGGAATGTAACATGGTACAGTTGCTTTGGAAAACAGTATGGCTGTTTCTCAAGAATTTAAAAATAAAATTATCATATGATTTAGCAAATTCTACTTCTTGGTTTATACTCAAAATAATTGAAAGCAGGAACTTGAAGACATAATTGTATACTCATGTTGATAGCAGCATTATTCACAATAGCCAGTGCTAAAAACAACTATCCATGGATTGATGAATAAACAAAATGTGGTATTAACATGCAGTGGAATATTATTTAATCCTAATGAAGAAGGAAATTCTGACATGATACAATATGGCTGAACCTTGAAGACATTATGCTAAGTGAAATAAGCCATTCACACAAGGACAAATATTGTAATTTCACTTACGTTAGCTACCTAGAGTAGTCAAATTTATACAGGCAGAAAGTAACATGGTCGTTGGCAAGGTCTGGGTGGATGGGGAATGGGAAATTATTGTTTAATGAGTATAGAGTTTTGTAAGATGAAAAGTTCTGGAGATGTATGATGGTGATATTTGCACAACAATATAAATGTATCTAATGCCACTGAACCGTACACTTAAAAATGGTTATGATAATTTTTACATTATGAATATTTCCCACAAATAAAAATAACTTTTAAAAAACTCTATTGTTCTAAAACAGTGTTCTTTTTCTAGACAAAGTACTTATTAGTTCAAAACAATCTATGTATCCGTTCTCTGTTATCATATAATCTTTTATTTTCAGTGGAAGAAAATGTTGGAAATATTTATTCCTCCTAGTTTCCTCCTCTCCCCAAATAATAAATGATAGGAGGGTGGTGTAATCTCATCTTTTCTACTTTGGTGATCTGATTTTGGTTTAAGCACTACTAGTAGGTGTACTTTTTGTCTGTTTTTAGATTCCATTTGAAAGAAACCATTTCTCTGCTTCACTAGAACACTCCGGCTACATTCTTTTGGCCTATTCTTTGTTGGGTGAGACTCTCTGAAATTAATGCCTACTCTTTATTGATTGCCTACCTTTGGCAGACATTTTGCAAACATTATTTTTAACTTCTTGAATAACCTTCAAATTAGCTATTATTACCCCCATTTTCAGGTAATGAAATCTAGATTGTAAGTAGTAAGTACAGGATTTGAATGTGGTTCTAGCTCTAAAACTGTGAAAAGCTGACTGCATAAAATCTTTACCTAAAAGTTAAAACAAAAGCCAAAGTCAGATAGATACTCAATCACCCCATCCATTCTCTTTTAAGCTACAGGAAAGTGATCTCTATTTAATACATATGAATTTCTGTTTGCAAAATGGGCATCAAATCTTAATAGTTTTATAAGTGAGTAATTTATAAATACCTGAAGAAATGGTTTGTACCAGATGATCTTTAAGGATTTATGATGTATGTATCATAAATAGGTTGTATAGATTGTATGGATTGACAGATTTTCACAAACTGAACACACCGGTTTAACCAGGACCTAGATCAAGAAACAAAGCATGACCAATAGCTTCCAGGCTCCTTTATGCTCGTAGCTGCAATATCTCCACTTTCAATAGCAATTGATTATTTTCACTTAAATGTTACTTATTTACAATTATGGACATTTAGTTTCCAGTTTTGCTATTATGAATAATGTTGTTATAGACATTCTTGTTCATGTCTTTTGGTGACACACACACATTTCTGCTGAGTACAAAGCTATGAGTAGAAATAATTGCTGGATCACACTATATGCATATGTTCAGCTGGTATGGTTTGGCTCTGTGTCCCCACCCAAATCTCATCTTAAATTGTAGCTTCCATAATTCCCATGTGTTATGGGAGGGACCCAGTGGGAGATCATTTAAATCATGGAGGTGGTTTCCACCATATTATTCTCTTGGTAATGAATGAATCTCATGAGATCTGATGGGTTTATCAGGGGTTTCCGCTTTTGCATCTTCCTCATTTTTCTCTTGCTGCCAGCATGTCAAAGTGCCTTTTGCTTCCCACCATGATTCTGAGGCCTCCCCAGCCATGTGGAACTATAAGCCCACTTAAACCTCTTTTTCTTCTCAGTCTTGGGTATGTCTTTATCAGCAGCATGAACACAAACTAATACAGTAAATTGGTACCAATAGAGTGGGGCATTGCTGAAAAGATACCTGAAAATGTGGGAGTGACTTTGGAACTTGGTAATGGGCAGAGGTTGGAACAGTTTGGAGGACTCAGAAGAAGACAGGAAAATGTGGGAAAGTTTGAAACCTCCTAGAGATTTGTTGAATGGCTTTGACAAAAATGCTGATAATGATAGAGGCAATGAAATTCAGGCTGAAGTGCTCTCAGATGGAGATGAGGAACTTCTTGGGAACTGGAGCAAAGGTGACTATTGTTATGTTCTATCAGAGACTAGCAACATTTTGCGCCTTCCCTGGAGATTTGTGGAACTTTTGAACTTAAAAGAGATGATTTAAGATATCTGGCAGAATAAATTTCTAAGCAGCAAAGCATTCAAGATCTGTCTTGAGTGCTGCTAAAGGCATTCAGTTTTAAAAGGGAAACAGCATAAAAGTTTGGGAATTTGCAGCCTGACGATGTGATGGAAAAGAAAATCCCATTTTCTGAGGAGTAATTTAAGCCTGCTGCAGAATTTACATAAGAACAAGAAGCCCAACATTAATCCCCAAGGCCATGGGGAAAATGTCTTCAGAGCATGTCAGAAGTCATCATGGCAGCCCCTCCCATCACAGGCCTGGAACCCTAGGAGGAAAAAGTGGTTTCATGGGCCAGGCCCCATGTCCCTGAGCTGTGTGTAGCCTGGGAAGTTGGTGCCCTGTGTCCTCGCTACTCCAGCCATGGCTAAAAGGGTTCATCGTAGAGCTTGGGCCATGGCTTCAGAGGGTGGAAACCCCAAGCCTTGGCAGCTTCAACATGGTGTTGAGCCTGTGGGTGCACGGAAGTCAAGAACTGAGGTTTTGGAACTTCCACCCAGATTTCAGAAGATGTATAGAAATGCCTGGATAGGCCGGGCGCGGTGGCTCAAGCCTGTAATCCCAGCACTTTGGGAGGCCGAGGCGAGTGGATCACGAGGTCAAGATATCGAGACCATTCTGGTCAACATGGTGAAACCCCGTCTCTACTAAAGATACAAAAAATTAGCTGGGCATGGTGGCATGTGCCTGTAATCCCAGCTACTCAAGAGGCTGAGGCAGGAGAATTGCCTGAACCCAGGAGGCAGAGGTTGCGGTGAGCTGAGATCGCACCTTTGCACTTCAGCCTGGGTAACAAGAGCAAAACTCCGTCTCAAAAAAAAAAAAAAAGAAATGCCTGGATACCCAGGCAGAAGTCTGCTGCAGGGCAGGGCTCTCATGGAGAACTTCTGCTAGAGCAATGCAAAAGGAGAAGAGAAATGTGGGGTCAGAGCCCCCACATAGAGTCCCTACTGGGACACTGCCTAGTGGAGCTGTGAGAAGAGGGCCATCATCCTCCAGACCCCAGAATGGTAGATCCGTTGACAGCTTGCCCTGTGTGCCTGGAGAATCCACAGACACTCAATGCCAGCCTGTGAAAGCAGCCAAGAGGGAGGCTGTGCCCTGCAGTGCCACTGGGTCTGTGCTGCCCAAGACCATGGATACCTACCTCTTGCATTAGCATGACCTGGATATGAGACATAGAGTCAAAGGAGATTCATTTTGGAACTTTAAAATTTGCCCTGCAGGATTTTGGACTTGCATGGGCCCTTAACCCCTTTCTTTTGGCCAATTTCTCCCATTTGGAATGGCTGTATTTACCCAATACCTGTACCTCCATTTTATCTAGGAAGTAACTAGCTTGCTTTTGATTTTACAGTCTCATAGGCAGAAGGAACTTGCCTTATCTCAGATGAGACTTTGGACTGTGGACTTTTGAGTTAATGCTAAAATGAGTTAAGACTTTGGGGGACTGTTGGGAAGTCATGATTGGTTTTGAGATGTGAGGACATGAAATTTAGGGGGGCCAAAGTTGGAATGATATGGTTTGGTTCTGTGTCTGTACCCAAATCTCATCTTGAATTGTACTCCCATAATTCCCACATATGTGATGGACCCAGTGGAAGATAATTAGAATCATGGGGGTAGTTTCCCCCATATTGTTCTCATGTTAGTAAGACTCACAACATCTGATGGTTTTATCAGGGGGTTCTGCTTTTGCATCTTCCTCATTTTTGTCTTGCTGCTGCCATGTAAGAAGTGCCTTTTGCCTCCTGCCATGATGCTGAGGTCTCTCCAGCCACATGGAACTGTAAGTCCAATTAAACATCTTTTTCTTCCGGGTTATCAGCAGCATGAAAATGAACTAATACATCAGCTTTTGTAAATATGGCAAGTTTTCCAAAGTATACATTAAAATCTTTTATAAAGCATCAAGTAAAATACTGACAGCCAATAGAAGAATAGGTAAAAGACTTGACAAAAAGGAAGCCAAGTAATAAGAATAGCACAACTTTTGAAAATGTTAAGTCTTTTTAATGGAGTTTCGCTCTTGTTACCTAGGCTGGAGTGCAATGGCGCAATCTCGGCTCACTGCAACCTCCGCCTCCTGAGTTCAGGCAATTCTCCTGCCTCAGCCTCCTGAGTAGCTGGGATTACAGGCACGAGCCACCACGCCCAGCTAATTTTTTGTATTTTTAGTAGAGACGGGGTTTCACCATGTTGACCTGGATGGTCTCGATCTCTTGACCTCGTGATCCACCCACCCTGGCCTCCCAAAGTGCTGGGATTACAGGCATGAGCCACCATGCCCAGCATCTATATTTAAAATGTTTGTTTCAAGGTAGCTAATTCTTTATTATATATTCTATCAAAAAATTGTTTAAAATTTATGAAATAAATGGATACATCAATGGTTATGTTTTATCTGTAGTATAATGGTTCAGAAATTGAAAATACTTATATTATTTTTCATTAAAGTCCGTATTTTTATAAAGCTTATCCATTTCACTTAAATTTAGAAAACAATATTTTAAAATCTCCAAAGTGATGGTATCTGGTTAAATTGTCTTCAATTTATTCAACTAATAATTAATAATCAAGTTCAAAGCAAACCAATAAAAAGGATATTCAGATAGATTTAACAATTATCTTAGTCCACTACTTAGTAAAACCAAATTTTCATAAATATTATTAAAATTTTTTACAAATTACAGATAAATGGAATACACCAAACAAAGCTCCTCCTTCCTTGTAGTTTTTATTTTAGTGTTTGGAGGGAATATTTAGTGTTTCGTTCAAAATTATTGCAATACAAGACTGCGATACAAGTTATGCTGTTATCTTGAATGTAAAGAAGCAATGATGAATGCACTGAAAAATAAGCAGTGAAAAAAATACAAGGCATTTGCAGGACTAAAGCTCCTCCATGAGCTCTTGACCTCACATATGTACAAATTAATTTACCAAAATAAAAGAGCTATAATGTTAATGTGGCCTGGACAATTTTTAAGAAATATGCCAATTTTATTCTCTTTTCTGAAAGTGCAAAGGATAGAGAAAAAAAAGTAAGAAGAAAAATTCTGTGACCAAAGAGAATATAAATGGAAACTACAATCTAAATCTCAAGTATTTTAACAGCAAAAAGCATATGTTAGAGAGAGAGAGAGAGAGACCTTATATTAGTAAGGTCAGCCTTACATTAGTATATTCTTGCTGAATCTTTGACTGACCTACCAGATGTTCATCACAGGCACACTTCACTTCTATTATGCCATCTGGTTTTGTTCGTTTTCTATTTGAATTTCTACTGAATCCATTCTCTCGTAATAAACGTGGAAATTTTGGTTGTTTTAATTTTATTATTGTACACTCCATTATCTTTGAATTCCTTTAACTGGAACATTATTAAACTTGTCTCTTATAAATGCCTACTCTTATTTGTCATTGTACTCCTAAAGAACCCTAACCCTTTGGTATTTGAGGTATTCTTGGAAGTCCTTTTAGGAACATGGATTTTGCTGATGGATTTGACTGGGACTTTGAAATATAATGGTTTTATGTTAATCTTGCCTATTAATGTTTTATGTCTTAAGGCTGGAGACTTGGTTCCTATTCCTGAATTTTTTAGCTCTGTTTCCTATAAAGGCTCATAGCTAGCTTGACTTGGGATCTGTAATAAGTAAGAGATTTGGTCACTTAACCTTTTCTCTCTCTTGTCATTGGGTGGATTCTATGAACTGATCTTTCTTAGGCTTCCATTAAACACACTCTTGATTCTAGAACTAAAGACAAATAGATAATCTCATAAATATTTATAAATATTGGTAGTATTTTCATATGAAAAGATTTAAAGAGAATTCTTGGAAACCAGCACAGTAGAAGTAAGAGCAATGAAACAAAGCTACAGGAAGAAATGTTCAGCTTTGTATAAAGCAAGTGTTAGCATTCACAGTTTTATAAACTTGCCTCTGGGAGGCAGTAGGGTGTAGAGGTTGAGTATGGCTTCCCATTGACTTCAAATCCAGTACACCAGTCGGTATTTGTGTGATCTGTGCCTTGGTTTATTCTGTGAAATAGGTATAATAGTAAATCCTCCCCCATTGGGTTTTTGTGAGGATTAAATGAGATACTTCCTGCCGGGCACTTACAATTGTGTCTGGTACAGAATAAACGTTCAATAAAAGTTAGCTTTATTATTATGGAATAGGCTGTCTGCCTTTGTATGTTCTCCATCATTAGAGGAATTTAAGCAGAGGTGAAATAATAAATTGGTAGAGATTTTATAGTTAAGATTCAAGCATTGGATAGCTCCTTCAACCCCTCAGATTTGTGTTTCTATTTTTTTAATTTCCCGTGAATATCAAGGTAACTTTCATATTGACAATGGTGGTATTAACCTATATAACATGCTTTTTTCCTGGTCGTTCAATTTCAATGATACAGTCTCCTGTAGGCAATCTGGGACCTCAGAGTACGGCAAAGAAAACCACTGCTTAAGTCCAGTCTACATGCTGACCTCATGAAGCAAACCAACTGTAGATGCCAGAGACCTAAACAGATAGACTGTGAATTCAGTTTGAGGAAGACACTGCAGAACAGGTCTTTTTATAATTTACAATCTTTCCTATCTGATGGCAAAATTTAAAAAGGGCTATAATAGTCATTGGTAAGACATAAATGGGAAAATGGACTCTGTACTGTATTGTTAGTGGGACTATACACTACAAACATTTTGGAAAGAAAGCTGTCAATGTCTATTATAATTTAAAATATATATTTTCTTTGACCTGCCAACTCCATTTTTAAATGGCTTTCCTGTATGTGTATCATTATATATACACAGACACACACACATACACACGTATTTAAGGCCACATTAAGATACCGCTATTGTGACATTAATTATGGTAGTAAAAATAAGGAAACAATATAATTGTCTATCAACAGGCCAATATTTAAATGCAATAAGCTCTTATGGAATATTATTAAGTGATTTTAAAAAATGATGTATATTTCTATCTATTGACATGAGAGGTCCATGATGTACTGTTAAGTGAGTAAAGCAAGTTCCAGCATAATATTTATAGTGTATTTGATGTTTGAAACAGCAAACAAACAAAAACTTCAAACTTCCTTTGCACGCTTTGATATGTAGAGAAGTGAGGGTGGTCACCAGGTCACTGAGCTTGGTTAGCTCAGTGCTGAGGCTAAGAGGGAATCAGTGTTTTCTATATATGTTTTTGCATTGTTTTACATGCAATAAATGAAACGTTTTGGAATGAAAAAATAGAAGGAAATAATTTTAATTAAAGAACTTAATAATTACAAAAATGTACCTACTACAATACATGCACAATAGGAGCATGCATTTCGCTGATGGATTTGACTGGGACTTTGAAACTATAATGGTGTTACGTTCATCTTTGCTATTAATGTTTTATGTCTTAAGGCTGGAGACTTGGTTCCTTCTGAAATTTCTGGCACAATACAGATTTCTTGAGAAAAGGCGTGGTGGCTCACGCCTGTAATCCCAGCACTTTGGGAGGCCGAGGCGGGTGGATCACGAGGTCAAGAGATCGAGACCATCCTGGTCAACATGGTGAAACCCCGTCTCTACTAAAAATACAAAAAAAAAATTAGCTGGGCACAGTGGCGCGTGCCTGTAATCCCAGCTACTCAGGAGGCTGAGGCAGGAGAATTGCCTGAACCCAGGAGGTGGAGGTTGCAGTGAGCCGAGATTGCACCATTGCACTCCAGCCTGGGTAACAAGAGCGAAACTCCGTCTAAAAAAAAAAAAAAAAAAGAAAAATAATCCCACTCTCCCTTCCTGTCCTTATTATTTATCCCTTTTTCCTCTGTCTCCTCCATAACTTTCTTCCTTGTGCTTTTTTATTCCCACTTCACGTCAAAAAAAAGTATTTTTGCAAAAACGGAAACACATTACAAGTCAATTCAATAAGACTGAAAGTGATACAAAAAATCAGTTCATTTTTTTCCTTTTTCACCTCAAACACGAAAAAATATTTTGTAAAAAACTATTTTTAACCAAAATACAGCCCCTCCGACTCATACAGGGTAAAGTTCTGCCATTTCTAGTGACATAGAGCTTCCTAGACCATGCTGTTCAGAAAGAACACAAAAACCAAATGCCTGCTTCCTTCCTTCCTTCCTTCCTTCCTTCCTTCCTTCCTTCCTTCCTTCCCTCCCTCCCTCCCTCCCTCCCTCCCTCCCTCCCTCCTTCCTTCCCTCCCTCCCTCCCTCCCTCCCTCCCTCCCTCCCTCCCTCCTTCCTTCCTTCCTTCCTTCCTTTTTGATAAATAGTAGGAGCAGCAGCAGCAGTATTTCTTCTTATGATAAGCAATAATGGCATGTGCTCTAAAAGAAAACTACAATATTTTGACTCTGACTTTATGTGGACAAGTGCAAAAACGAACAAAATACATTAATTAATTGAAACTCATTAAAAAGAGGCAAATATACTCAAGATTTTTTTCATGTAGTAGTAACACCTATTATTAAACATTTGTACAGATAAACTAATTGAAATTTCCTAAAATAGTATATCCTTAAAGTTTTTAAAAATTATGTAAATTCTGTAGTTGAACAAATTATGTCATTTCTGAAGGATTTGATTTCTGGGTGAACTCTTCCTATGGTTCCTATTGTCTTCCATTACTTTTCATTTCATTTCTTTTTTTTTTTCTTTTTGCATTGGAGTCTCACTCTGTCACACAGGCTGGAGTGCAGTGGCGGGACCTTAGCACACTGCAACCTCTGCCTCCCAGGTTCAAATGATTCTCCTGCCTCAGCCTCATGAGTAGTTGGGACTACAGGCACATGCCACCACACACTGCTAATTTTTGTATTTTTAGTAGAGATGGAGTTTTGCCATGTTAACCAAGCCGATCTCGAACTCCTGACATCAAGTGATCCACCCACCTTGGCCTCCCAAATTGCTGGGATTACAGGTGTGAGCCTCTGCACCTGGCCATGTCTTCCATTACTTTACTGAGTTCTATATATATATACATTTTTTTTTTTTAGATGGAGTTTCGCTGTTGTTACCCAGACTGGAGTGCAATGGCACGATCTCAGCTCACCGCAACCTCTGCCTCCTGAGTTCAAGCAATTCTCCTGCCTCAGCCTCCCGAGTAGCTGGGATTACAGGCGCGAACCACCATGCCCAGCTAATTTTTGTATTTTTAGTAGAGACGGGGTTTCACCTTGTTGACCAGGATGGTCTCGATCTCTTAACCTCGTGATCTACCCGCCTTGGCCTCCCAAAGTGCTGGGATTATAGGCGTGAGCCACCTTGCCCGGCCCTGAGTTCTATTTTTGTTCTTTTTTTAATTACCTTAAAATTTTTACTGTAAAAATATAAAGGCATACAGAAAAAATGTAATGAATCCCCATGTATCCATCACCCCGCTTCAACATTTATGTACTCATAGCAATTCTTGTTTCATCTTCAAGCCCATCTATCCTCCAAACATATTTTGTAGCAGATACCAAACACCATAAATGTATATTCATAATAATTTTCTTAAAAAACATTTCTTCTCTGATGATTCCATTATCTCTGTCATTCGGGATCTGTTTCTGTTTGATAGTTTCTTTCCCCTTTTCCTGGTTAGGGTCTACACTTCCCTGCTTCTCTTGCAAATTTTTGATTGGATTCCAAACATTGTAGTTGCTGCTGTATTTTGCTGAATTTCCTTAGATATTTTTAAATTTTGTTCTAGGATGCTGCTAAATTACTTAGAAGCTGTTTCACCCTTTAAGTCTTCTTTCCAAGCTTTGTTAGGGCAGGTCCAGAACAGCTGTTCCTCAGGGGATTTATGCGATTCCGCCTCACAGGTAATAACCTTCCAAGGAGTCTACTCAATACCCTACTTAGTCAGGGGTCTTTCCCCTCAGATTGATTAGAACATGTAATATTCCCTATCCCTTGGATCTTTAGGGAAGAGTCCACCTATTCCCTTCCGTTGATCCTTTCTCAAGTTTTATGTTGTTTCCTCCACAATCTCCACATGCAGATAAATTCTCTGTCATATTCTGAAGCAGACTCCTGGACCTGTACAGATCTCTGGAGCCCATTTTTTGTGTGTGCAGTTCTCGTCTTCCTGAAATTACACCTGGAAATCTAGCCGGTTTGCCTTTCTTAACTCTGAGTTCTGTCTTTTCAACTCAGCACTACTGTCAGGGTCTGTTTGGGGGCCTCTTCTCACTACTATAGCCTGGAAGCTCTCTTTTTTAACAATAAACTGGGGTAATTTATAAGGGGCTTGTTTCTTTTGTTTCTCTCTTTTTTTAAAAAAGATTATTGTTCTATACGGCTTGTCATCTAATGTTTCATGTAATATTATCTAGTTTTCCAGTTGTTTAACTTTGAAGTCAAAATTAAAATGCCATTAATTTTTAACACCGAAAGTTGAAGACCTTCTATGGTTTTCTCTGGCTTCTGTCTATACAGCTTCATATGCCATTATCTCTAGCATTTCTTTTTCTCTTAATAACCAGGATTAATCATCCAAGCCAGTAATAAAGATCGGCTCACTTTTGTTCTATTTGCTTAAAGGCATGAAGAATCTGAAATATCTAAGTGGCAATCTTGGATTCCAGTGTAATAGTACCATTTTTGTGTACCTAGAGGAAGCATTTCTTCCCTCAGTGTTGAACTTTCAAAAAGGATAGATCCTAGATTAACTGTAACAGAAAATATGTCACCTACAGACCTCTAGTTCTTCACATGGAGGCTCCAACTAGGTTCCCAGCTTAGACCACCACTGCAGATGCTAGGACAGGACCCAGAGAAGTCACAGGAGGAAAGGTGATTACTCAAGGAAAGAAAAGCATAGGTATTTGCCTAAGGCTATCTCTCCTTCAAGGCGAAGGGGACAAGATAAACCATTAAAAGGTTTTGTCTTCGTATTCTCCTACACATACTTTTTAAAGGGTCAACCCTGGATTGGGCTGTAAAGTGTCAGCTGTGAATTTCTGTCTGGTGCCAGTAAATTATGTAGTAATACCTGTAAATAAGGCTTGAACTTTTCCCCTTCTGGTCAATTAATAATAAGAAACTCCCCATGAGTCATAAAGAGAGACTGAAGGAGGGTGGCAGAGCAAAATACATATGCAAGTTGGGAATGAAAATGAGTTGTTAATGCAGTTTACTTGTGTTTTCAGTCTTCTTTATCTGGACCCATATATCTCACTTCCAATAATGTAATGCCATTGAGTGTGTCTAAGTCTAGGAAGTCAAATAACCCCATTTTTTTAAAGCAATGGTGTCATGTTGCCACCTGATGTTCCAAAGTCAGACTTTCTTTTTTGTTGTTATTTTTATTTCTGAACCCAACATTATGAACATACCAAAGTCAGATTTCATTCTCTGCCAGAGACCAATCAAGAGCTGTTTCTGAAAAGAGGACTGTTACCGCTAAAATACATGGCGTTGCTTTAAAACCTTGGGAGCCAACACTAGATTTTTCCCCTCCAGATGTACCAAAAGTGCCACAACTGATCACAGACATTCGAGTATTATTAAAGCTTCATTGTAGTTGCATTACATTTTTGTTCAGTTTACACTTGTGCTGGGATCCATTTGAGGTATTCAGTCTTGGACAGGCACGGTGGCTCATACCTGTAATCCCAGCAATTTGGTAGGCCAAAGAAGGCAGATCACTTGAGGCCAGGAGTTTGAGACCAGCCTGACCAACATGGCAAAACCCTGTCTCTACTAAAAATATAAAAATTAGCTGGTGTGATGGCATGCATCTGTAATTCCAGCTACTCCAAAGGCTGAGACAGGAGAATCGCTTGAACCTAGGAGGTGGAGGTTGCAATGAGCCAAGATCCTGCCATTGCACACTAACCTGGGCAGCAGAGCCAGACTCTGTTTGAAAGAAAAGTATTCATTCTTTTGGAAAATCTGACAAATGGATATAAACAGTATGTTTAAATATGATATTGGTTACTTCCAAAATCAAAAGATGTTTACCAAGCCATGTGCCTTTTTTTTTTATAGTAGGCAGTAAGAAGGTATAAGAACTTCCCCTTTCCTTTGGAGAAGGTATCTTGGCATGCTCAATTTCACTGGCTCTTCAGAAATTTTATGGAAGTGGCAGATCCCTGTATTTTAGTGGAATTGGTGTCCTACGCTCTGGCACACAAGAATTTTATGAAGGCATCATGCGTATCTGCGATTACATTGGCATCAATATAAGGGACCAGCATGAGCTCCTGTGAAATGATAATACAATAAATGTTTCCATGAACTCAATTGTGGCATAGAACCAGTGAGCTGTCACCACTCTGGAACAAGATAGAAAAGGTATCCTGCTTTCCTTCGAGGCAAAAGAAACTTACGTGTTTTTGATTAGCATAGAATAAAAGTACTTACTGCATCAATAGCTGCATGTCATATGCCAGTGGTACCAGTTTGCCCCAGCAAAAAGGTACATCTGCAGTAGTTTCTATAACTGGAGACACAAATTAATGAAAACAATTATTTATAAATCATAGAAAACATTTAATGTGATAGTATTTTTTAGACAATTGAATACTTAAATGTTTATTTCTTGACTGCTTTTTTTCTGATACATATATTCAATAATTTGCAAATTTTAAGAGTAAATCACATGTGATACAAATTAATATTTGACTTTAATATGCAGAAAATATAGTCTAGGATTGTTTCATCTGATTCATATTTCTGTGTGATTCTGGAAGGCCATTATGAATGGTGGCTTTTTAATATCTTCTTTGAAATAGTAAATGTGTGTTTAAAAATGTATCCCTTATAATATCAGTGTTTTTTACTCATATATTTGCTTTCTGATTTGTTATTTAACATTAATCAAAGATTTAAAGTTCTATCAAGCAGATAATGAACTTTATTCATTTTAAGAAACACTGTGGTTTTAGGGAGGAGGCCATTTATTTATTTGTTCAATAATAAACAAGTCTGGCTATTTATCTAGACTTTAACATAATGTGATGACTTACAACGGAATGTGTTTCTCCACTCTGAAAGATGAATATAATCATTTACTTGTGCTGTTTCTTGTGAAAATACATTTTAATCTGGTAATATTTTATGATCTAACACGGTGACTGCTTTTACTATATTAGAAGATTCCTAACTAGATACAATTGAATTATTAAACAGTAAATAATTCTCATTTTCTTGTGTGTCTGATTCTCTTGTTTTCAATTACAACTCCTGGTCATAAAAATGTAAATTTAATATGTAAATTAAATTCACTTCAGTAAATATATTCATAGCAGCTTTAGGTAAAAATAAAACTACCTTTCAGCTAATCCCAAAATGTAAATCATGCCACTTTATAAAATGAATATGCATAATTTTTTTCAGGAAAAAACCCAAAACACAAAAACTGTAACTGTAATTTCTTTCAAGATTGTTACATTTATGAACGAAAAGGGCATGGACTGAAAATTTAGATGAATCAAGCACAATACATAGAAATTTATGGTTTCAATGATTTTTTAAAATGTGTTTGTTTTTGAGACAGAGTCTCACTCTGTCGCTTAGGCTGGAGTGCAGTGGTGCTATCTCAGCTCACGGCAGCCTTTGCCCTGCTGGGTCCAAGTGATTTTGGTGCATCAGCCTCTCAGATAGCTGGGATTACTCGTGTGCCACCGTGCCTAGCTAATTTTTTTTTTTTTTTTTTTTTTGCATTTTTAGTAGAGATGGGGTTTTGCCATGTTAGCCAGGTTGGTCTTGAACTCCCAGCCTCAAGTTATCTGCCTGCCTTGGCCTCCCAAAGTGCTGGGACTACAGGTATGAGCCACCATGACTGGCCTTCAGTGACTCTTTGGACACATAAGATATTGAGCTATTGCAAGGATGTAGCAATGGCTAAATAAGCATTATTATATACCTAGTGTGCAAAAGTTCTATAAAATGCTAAGTATGAAAGCTCAGGCTGCTGACAATAATATCAAGTCATTGGCTATTCTAATTTAACAAACATTTATTGAATGCCTACTAAGTACCAAATTTGTGTTAGACACTAAGGATTAAAGGTAAAAAAGTCATAAACTCTATTCTTGAAGAGCTTATTTTCATACCTAGGGAGAAAGGCATATAACCAATACTTAGAATTCAATGTGCAGTAGTAGAGATTTTAAAATGTTGAGGATAGACTCACAGATTTGCATGGAGAAGTGGTAAAGGCTCCATAAATGATGTGAATTTTGAGCATTGGGAGATATAAAATATGGTAAATGTACCATATTTTGCTATTCAGAAAGTTGTTTATATAAGGTATTAAGGACATAGCATAGTTAACTCTATCTATTGTCTGTTGCTGCCTAACAAATCACCCCAAAGCCAGTGGCTTAAGACAAAAATACTTTATTATTGTAGATAATGCATCCATAAAGACTGTTTGAATTCCCACAGAAAGTTAATCAGTTCTCTGTTCTTACCTTGCAGCCTTGTGCTATAGTTATAAACTATATATATAACTATATATAGTATATATTAAGTATAGTTAGTGGTTTCCTTCTGTAGATAGCAGCTGAGTAAACTATTGTTCACAAGACAAGCTGGACTGCCACCTAGTTTTGAAAATAAAGTTTTATTGGGCTATAACCATGATCATTTATTTACTTATTATACATGGCCGCTTTTGTGCCACAACATTAGAGCTGAGTAGTTACAATAGAGATTGATGGTTTGCAAAGCTGAAAACCACAGCCACCACCCCCTAACTCTGGACTACAGTTGTCCAACAGAACTTTCTGTGATGTTAATGTGGCTATAAAGCACTTGAAATGTGGTTACTGTGACTGAGAAACTGAATTTTAAAGTTTACTTAATTTTAGTTCATTTAAGTTTAGACTGCTACATGAGCCATTGCAAATGGCTACATATTGGACAGCCTAGTTCTAGACAGTAAGTTCCCTAAAGCCAGTAACCAACTTTTGGTTATCTTTTTTACCCCATGATATTCCATCACGCCCCGTATACAGCTTTATACTTAGCAGACTCAGTTGTTCTCTCATCAAATATTTATTGAATTAAATTTATCATGGTCGTTTTTACTTATTTTGGTCAAACTTTGTGAAATACTTAAAGCTCAAGTATTTTTCTTGCGATGATTAGTCTTTCAGTTCAAATGCCCAATGACTTCCTGAAAATGTCTCCAAATGTTCTAGCCTACAGGAATTTTTCTCTCTGAAGGAGCAGCCATCTTCAAGGGTGTAATTCATAGCATAAAGAATTTAACTTAGGATAATGGCCTCCAGCTGCATCCATGTTGCTGCAAAGGACGTGATTTTTTTCTTTTTCTTGGTTGTGTGGTAGTCCATGATGTATATGGAATTATACACTATTACCTTGTGTTAGACACTAAGCATTAAATTAAATAGACACAATTATACACTATTACCTACCACATTTTCTTTATGCAGTCAATTATCCTAAGCAAATTAACTCAGGGACAGAAAACCAATCCCACATGTTCTTGCTTATAAATGGTCACTAAACATTGGGTATTCATGGACATAAAGATGGGACCAGTAGACACTAGAGGTAGGAGGGAAGAAAGGGGGCAAGGGTTAGAAAACTGTTGGGTACTATGCTCTCTTATGTGGGTGACTGGATCATTCATACACCAAACCTAAGCATCACACATGTAACCAACCTCCCTGTAACAAACCTGCTATTGCACCCCCTAAATCTACTATAAAAGTTGATATTTTTTAAAAAAGAATTCAACTAAGTGCCCAGCTTTGGCCACTATCTCAGATGCTGGGGCAAGGCCCTGCCACTGCAGAGCAGGCCTGGGAGGGAAAGTGATTCCTCAGGGAAAGAAAAGCTCACCTGGCATCACAAGGCCTATAGCTCTTGATGACTCGTCCTGACTTCCCACACAGTCACTTCGCCCAGTGGTGAAGTCAGCCTCCGGAGGGCTGAAGCAACACTTCAAGAACTACAGTTCCCTTTTCTCAAAGACTTAGTTGGGGGGCTGGCTTATCCATGCTATTTCTCTGTTACCTCAAGGTAGATTTATGTCTATGATTTTACCACCCTGCTCTACCACTGTGTCTTGAAGGAGCCTGTCTGTTTTTTCCACAAGTCTTGTAGACTTTGAATATCAGAGAATAAAAATTGGCATACAGATCACTCCTTCTCAGTGGCATCTAATGCAAGTTGGTTCTTTATGTGCCAGGAGGAAGGGCAACCTTGTTAAATAAAAGGTGCTGTTATACTTTCCAAAAGCAGGTGCCTTCTTGTCTTACATTTGCATAACTTTAAATAGTACCACTTAAGGCTAGCAGAAAAGGGAAGTCAGCTTGGAGGCAACAATCTCTTCTTGTTATTCTATAAGACAGATGCTTTAATGAGCAAAATTTATGTGCTTCCACTTATAGACTGATGGAAGGGAGGAAAGAAGAATGAAGGAAAGAAGAAAGGAAAAAAGAAAAACTTTAAAATGCTTTGATAGATATGTTTATATAGTTTTTTTATTTTGTAGTATATCCAATCTGTTTCCTCAATCCTTTATTGGTGACCTTTTAACTTTTCCACCACTTTCATTATTATAAATAACTGCAATTTCACATATATCCTTGCGTAGCTGATAGGGTTTTTCTACAGGATACATTGAGAGAATGTACGATTTATAATTTGACAGATTGACAAATTGCCTTCCAAAAATGTTTGCTACATAAAAATCTGTATTTCTGTTTTCTCTTGGAAAATTGAAAGTTTGGCCATTCTGGGCCTAAACTGCTACTAGGTAACAATGTGCAACAGTTGAACAAGAGTTTCAGGCTTTCGACTGGTCCAGTTCACTATTGAGCCCACCATCCATACTGCCTGTTTCTTTCATTTAAGATACCTGCCAGGTTCATGAGCCCTTGAGTTTGCAACTCCTGCCTCAGCACATAGCACACAACCAGTGAGTTCCCAGGAAGTGGTTGTTTCTGGAATAACCAGAAAAAAAAAAATGGTTGCTCAACTCCTTTGTAGTTTTAAAAGCTAGGGAAAAAATGGGTAAAATCTAAAGAGGATTTTGAAAGCCAGACTGTTTATTAGTAGTAGGATGGGAGCTATGATTCAGGCATCATGAGATAATTTACTCTGCCACCAACTTGCTACTGTATAAATGTTCACGTGAGGTTTCCTCTCTGATATGTTCTGAGGAATCAAGAGAGCAGAGTATAATAGACTCATTTGCATAAGAAGTAGTTCAAAGTCAAAGCTGTTATTTTTCAAATATTATTTTATTTATTTCTTTTTTAACTTTAAGTTCAGAGGTGCAAGTGCAGGTTTGTTACATAGGTAAACTTGTAACATGGGGGTCTGTCTTACAGATTATTTCAACACTCAGGTATTAAGCCTAGTACCCATCAGTCATTTCTCCTGATCCTCTCCTTCCTCCCACCCTCCAGCCTCTGAAAGGGCCCAGTGTGTGTTGTTCCCCTCTAAGTGTTCATGTGTTCTCATTGTTTAGCTCCACTTATAAGTGAGAACATGTAGTATTTGGTTTTCTGTTTCAGTGTTAGTTTGTTAAGGATAATAGCCTCCAGGCTCCATCCATGTCCCTGCAAAGGACATGATCCTATTCTTTTTTATGGCTGCATAAAATTCCATGGTATACATGTACCTCATTTTCTTTATCCAGTTCTACCATTGATGGGCATTTAGGTTGATTTCGTGTCTTTATATCATGAATAGTGTTGAAATGAACATACACATGAGTGTGTCTTTATAATAGAATGATTTATATTCCTTTGGGTATATACCCAGGAATGGGATGGCAGGGTCAGATGGTATTTCTGTATTCAGGACTTTGAGGAATTGCCACACTGCTTTCCACAATGGTTGAACTAATTTACACTTTCACCAACAGTATATAAGTGTTCCTTGTTCTCTACAACCTCACCAACATCTGTTTTTTACTTTTTAGTAATAGCCATTCTGACTGTTGTGAGATGGTCTCTCATTGTGGTTTTTATTTGCACTTCTCTAATAATCAGTGATGTTGCAGAGCCCTTTTTTTAAAAATAGAAAATTAATTCAATTTATTTGAAAATATAGTTATTTCAGGCCAGGCATGGTGGCTAACGCCTATAATCCCAGCATTTTGGGAGGCCGAGGCGGGTGGATCACGAGGTCAAGAGATAGAGACCATCTTGGTCAACAAGGTGAAACACCGTCTCTACTAAAAATACAAAAATTAGCTGGGCATGGTGGTGCGTGCCTGTAATCCCAGCTACTCAGGAGGCTGAGGCAGGAGAATTGCCTGAACCCAGGAGGCGGAGGTTGCGGTGAGCCGAGATCGCGGCATTGCACTCCAGCCTGGGTAACAAGAGCAAAACTCCGTCTCAAAACAAAAAACAAAAAAAAGGAAAATATAGTTATTTTAATGATGATGTAAATAGATATATGTCAAACAAATAAATGAGATAGGAAGTAGGAAGTTCTTTTTCTCTCTAACCTACCTGCAAGTGGCCTGGGTATGAAATTATTTGTTACTTGTTAAAAGACTGAACTACATCTTTACCTAAAGTGCAATGCTAGGCCATCTGGGAAAAGCCTTTTTAGCCCATACATAGTTAGCTGTAATACAACTTCCAATTCTTGAGAGCCTGTCCAGTCTTCAGTCGTTCTCAACGTGTATATGAATGAGAGTGGAGGTAAGGAGAGGTTTGGAGTGTCTGAAAAGTGGGTTCTTTCTAATAGACAATGCTAATGGTAACATTTATAGAGGGCTGAGAAGAATGAGAATATTAGGGGTAGGCCTATAAAGGGGATGCAGGACAGGGTGTGGGGTCAAGTCTCTAGTGGTGTAGGCGGGAGAGCTGCAAGGTTTTCTGTGTGTAGCAGCCAGGCATTACTGAGCTCTACCTTCAAGAATAAATTTAGCTAAAAGGAGTATGGCTAGCTCCTAACCTCCAGTTGCAGTGCCTTCAGGACACATCTTAGCTTTGGGGCTGAGGAAATGCTCTTCCTGGTCAGCTTCCAACCAGTAACTGAACACTAAAGAGGTAAGGAGAGCTTGCCATTTCTGTCCAGCATGGAACTCTTCTAACAGACAATATTTTCTCCAAGCTATCCATTGGGTTGCTTGAGACTTTAGCAGACATGCCTTCTGGTTTGAGCCAAATACACTTTCACTTCCTCATGATTTTCTTAATAATATTTTTTTCTTCTAGCTTAATTCATTGTAAGAATACAGTATATAATACATATAACAAAATAAGTGTTAATTGCCTATATTATTGGTAAGGCTTCTGTTCGACAGTAGGCTATTAGTAGTTAAGTTTTTGGGAGTCAAATTTATACACCAATTTTTGACTATGCAAGGGTTGGTACTGTAGTTGTTCAGGGGTAAACTATATGTATATTTAGAGATTCACTAAGTGCATCTGATGCAAATGGTACAAAGTATAGGAGATTAAATTAATTATGTACAAATGCTATGAGAATTTTTTACAGCATTAATTACATACCTCTATGCTTAACATTACTTAATTTTTTAATGGAAGAAAAAATAAGTTCGTGTACTTTCAATTTGTATTGCCTTTTCACAGGGACCATTCGTATAATATTTTCTCATATCATTTTCTTGAACAGAATATTTTTGATGTGTTGACATGCCTGATTTCTGAAGTTGCACAAGAGATTTATGTGCATCTCTTTTCACCTGACATTGTAGTATCTGCTAAAAAGAGAACTGTATAGATTTTGGATTCATATTCTTCTGTCTTTCAGAATTTATAAACCCAACTTCTCTATACTTATCATTGGATTTGAATCCCTAAGATACTGTTTAAATTCTTTCCCTCTTACGAGTTTTCTGTTTCTTCACTGAAAATCTTAAACATGTGATATCACTGGCTTGTCGATAAGGAAATAAAGAATTAATTCAAAGGAAAACCCAGAAAATACAAAAACGAGTCTAAAAGCAAACCTCAGGAGTGTAATTTTTTATGTCTACATTTATGTTTTTCATATTTATGTTCACTGCAAGTAGCCATATGCATCTTTTACTAATGTATATAAACAAGTAAACACAAAATTGATTTATGTATTTATTTACTTACATTTCAAGATTCTCTGGATATAGCTTAGGTGGAGAGAGCACGGGAAACAAAGCATGAATCTAACCTGAGTGGTACCCCTTAAAGAGACTTAATTCTCTTTCTTTTTGCCCTAGGCAGCAAGCAAATTGTCAGGAATTTATCAAAATTTTCACTAAAAGACTTAAGATGATGCTCTGTAGAAGATAACTTGACAAAATCTTTACTCTTTAGGTTCAAGTTATTTCTCCAGTGTTTATGTTTTTATAAGATTTTTTAAGTAAGGATAATTAAAGCCTTTGTTTTAAAACGCATCTTCAAGTAATTACATATTTTCTGTCAGTAGGCATTTTTTGGTCTTTTTTAAAAAAAATGTGCTCATGATTGCACTATTCTTATCAGCATGCTGTTTTACTTATTTGATGAATGGTGCATGTTTAATGTGTTTAATACTAAATAGTCTTTAATGCCATATCATACTTCTGTCATCTCTTAGGTCTTCAAGTGCAGTTTTTATATGTACATGTTTGTCTGTGTGTTTTAAACTACTCTGACACACTTCAGATGAGAACAGCTAAAAACAGTGTATTAGTTAAAGAGGAGTATTGTCCCTGCAGAAACCTTCTATTAAATCATTGATCATTTATTGGTAGTGGTCTTTGAATTAGACTATCTATATATGCACATTAGGTTCCTAGAGGTTCTTTAACAAGGTACCACATCCTGGGTGGCTTTAAACAGCAGAAATTTTTCTCTTACAGTTCTAGGATTTAGAAGTCCAAAGTCCAGGTGTCAGCAGGTGTGGTTCCTTCAGAAGTTCCTGAAAGAGATCTGTCCATGTCTCTCTTCTAGCTTCTGGTGGTTGTATGAAATTCTTGATGATCCTTGGCTTGCAGATGCACCCTTCTGCTTCTTCCTTCACACAGTATTTTCCCTTGTGTCTATCTCTTCTATTTCTTATATTTTCTCATTTGTTTTCAAACCTGTCATTTCTTTCACTATACATCTTTCTTCTCATGATGAATTGAAGGGAATTATTATGACTTGTAATTGTCTCATATTTAATCCTGGAACCATTAATATTTGTTGCTAGTATGTGAAATACAACTTCTTTACTAAAACCATTGCAATATGAAATGGTTTAAATATTCTGAACATTTACATCAAAGTGTTCATCATCTGATACCCAAACTCTTCCAAATCTGTCAATGTCTGATCAGAATCTCTCAATCTATTAATTAAACAATTAAGTTTTGTCATTTTCAGTTCCCTTATTCTAAAATATTTCAAAGTCACTTAAGTTTTAAGTTAAATGCCATGTCATATTATAAGCACGGCTCTTCTGTTGACATAGGAGCTTGGTATGTACTCACAAAGACATTGGATGTGCAGTGAAGAAAACACAGGCTTTAGACAGAAGCTGGATTCAAACCCTTGTTTTGCTACTATTACATTTTAAATCTTGAACAAGCTAGTTAACTTTATCTGTAAAATAGTGCTATTCATTTAGAGGATTAAATGACAGTAGCTAATACTTATGTAGCATTTATTATATGATAAGCATTGTTCTAAGTACATTACATATATTAACTTTATTATCCCCATATTAAAGAAGGGAAAGTGAGACACAAGAAAGTTTGGTAGCTTTCCCAAGTCAATTAACTATAATGATACAGATGGAATTTGAACACAAGCATTCTGGTTTCTCCGCACTCTGAATAACTCCATATTGCCTCTCCAGTGAATCATTCATCACAGAGGAGCCTGATCCAGTAGTCTGTGTACCTTTTGGGTTTTCACTTGGAGATGCATTCAGGCACCTCTGTATATCTGCAGATCAATGGAAAATTCTTTGGTTTTACTAGAAAACTAGATTAACGAGGTTCTAAAGATTCCAAGCTCACAAAGAAAATTTTCACATTAAAAAAATGTTAAGCATAATGTCTTCGGAAGGATGTGGAGGCTGTTCTCTGCCTCTGACCAGTATTGTTTTCTTTTTAATTAATTTAATGTGGAAGATGCCTGACTTACTCTCTTTATAAATAGGTATGAAGGAGAATATCTTATAGTCTTTAATATGTTCTAATGAATATGAGAGTATGTGTAGTATGTGTAGCATAGGGAATGTTTAAATCACTTTGTAGAGTTTGAAACTATTCAGCAACAATTAAGTGGCCTGATAACACTTCAGAGTAACATACCAGATGTTTTAATGTTCTGTTCTCATCCTAGATGGCTGGACAGACTTAGCATATGTGACTAATTTATCGAAAACTTATGATGGGGGTCCATTATTGTCAACTCAAATACCTAAATTATAAACACTGCAGCAAACATGCCAGAACATGAAAATACCCTCTTCACATACACAAGAGCAAGGCATGTTGTGTTCTAGGGACCGAACACTGTTTTTGATGAATTAATCTTATAACTCCAACATTCACCAGTGTAAATAATTTGAAGGTAAATTTAACTGAAAGAGACAGTCAAGCTACTCAGCTAGAACTAAGGCTTTTTTGTTTAGGTAGATACAAAGGGTTAATTTCTGGTTCATAGCACTAGATAGTGGTGGTTCTCTATCTGAGGAGGGGCTGGGGGAATCTGGTAGGAGGGTAAATCAAAAGTGTCTGGTGTATATGAGCAGCAGGCTGTGGGAAGCCCTCACTTCACTCCTGATAACATATCTGTCTCCCTGCACTGAGGCTGGATCATGCTCAGTCATAAAATATATAGTCAGAGTATATTTTATGTTTGTGATACTATGGAGTTATTTATACAAATTTAAATCTTTTAAAAATTAAATTATGTAATATTTCAAACTCACCAAATATACAAAAAGTAAAATGACATCCACTTAGATATGATACATGTTAAACCACTTGGTTGTAATAGATCTTTACATTTTTCTTGCTTGCATTCAGTTTTCTTTCTTCTCCTCCTCCTTTTTAAAAAAAACTTATTAATGTGACATTTCAAACATATAAAAGAAGAAACAACAATCTTGTGTGATCTATATACATATCCACTCCTCCATCTCCTGATATTATTTGGTAGCAAGTCGTAGACATAATTATTACTTCATCCATACATATTTTAACATCAATCTTTAAAATAAAAGGATTAATTTAAGAATAGACCTACACTATCATATAGCACCTAAATAATAATTCTTAAATATCCTTGAGTATTCACTCAGTATTCAAACATTCCTGTTTTTTTCATAATTTATAAGTTTGTTTGAATCAGAACCAAAGAGAAGTTCATACATTGCAATTAGTTGATAGATTGCTTAGCTCTCATAATTTGTACACTCCAAATTTTGCCGATTGCATCCAAGTAGCTCCATTTACACTTTTTTTTGATCCCCTGTTTTTCAGTAAATTGGGGGTTGAATCTAGACCTTTATGGGGATATAAGCTCTCTTTTTAAAGCAAAAATATTTAATAGATACCTTGTATACTTCTATTGGAGCATATAATGTTGATTTTGTCTTTCTCTTATGATTACTGCTAAGATCATCTGAGCATTTTCTCTTTAAAGAAGTAAAATGCTACAGATACTATTAAAGTCCTATCCCACCATCTTTCCCTCCCTAGAGGTAAATACTATTCTGAAATTTGTAAGTTTTGTGTTCATGCTTGTTTTTACATGTGAGCTATATATGCAGATGTTTATAAACTAGATTTAAACTGTGTTCACAGTCAGATACAATGGTTCACTCCTGTAATCCCAGCACTTTGGGAGGCCCAGACAGGAGGATCACTTGAGCCCAGGAGTTTGAGACCAGCGTGAGTAACATAGTGAGACTCTGTCTCTACAAAAGTTAAAATTAAAAAATTAGGCAGGTGTGGTGATGCATACCTGCAGTTCCAGCTACTCAAGAGGCTGAGGTAGGAGGATCTCTTGAGCCTGGGAGGTTGAAGCTGCAGAGAGCCAAGATCATGCCACAGCACTCCAGCTGGGTAACAGGACAAGATTCTGTCTAAAAAAAAAAGAAGTGTCTTTATATTTAAAATTTTTACACATTTGGTATCACACTGCATGAAGACATTTACAGCTTTCTTTTGGTTTTGATCTATGTCAATGTATTAGAATATAATTCATCTTTTAAAACTATAGTTTAATTTTGCATTATATGAATGAATCCCACTTTATTTTATCAATACCTTTACTTATGGACAAGTATGTCAGTTTCACTTTCTCCTATTATCAATAGCATTGCAATGAATATTCTTGTCTTTGAGTCCTCGTGCATATGGACTCAAGTTACTCCAGGGTAGGCACTTAAACGGGAAATTTCTGAGTTGCAGTGGTGTGCTGAAGTTAATTCATGCTGTCTCTTGGGAGTCTGTTAAGTTGTCAGAATTCTGAAAGGTGGTTATTAAAAATAAAAATTATTAAAAATTAAAGTATAGGCCGGGCACAGTGGCACACGCCTATAATCCCAGCACTTTGGGAGGCCGAGGCGGGTGGATCACAAGGTCAAGAGATCAAGACCATCCTGGTCAACAAGGTGAAACCCCGTCTCTACTGAAAATACAAAAATTAGCTGGGCATGGTGGTGTGCGCCTGTAGTCCCAGCTACTCGGGAGGCTGAGGCAGGAGAATTGCTTGAACCCAGAAGGCAGAGGTTGCGGTGAGCCGAGATTGTGCCGTTGCACTCCAGTCTGGGTAACAACAGCGAAACTCCGTCTCAAAAAAAAAAAAAAATTAAAGTATATAAACTTATAATTATGTAAATTATACTAGAAACAAAAGTAATAAATACCTAAAATTTATCATTTGCTAATTATTTTACTCCAATGTACTATGTTCCTGTTGTACATACTACAACTGTCTGTGCTCTTGGGGTTATGTACATCTATTGTAAATCTGCATGGCGGAAATACCATATAACAGCCTGCTGTTGCTCATCTCTTCGCAACTCTGAGCTGAGTGGCATCACATTGGTAACTTGAAATTAGCATGATGGGGGTGTTTACACCACAGAAATTGAACACGGCTATAATACAAATCACGGCTTAATTTACTGTTTTGTTGGTGGTGTCGATTTGAGAATGTGAGGGGAAAATGTTAATAATGCAGATTAATTTTTAAAATATATCATGCCACATTGGGCATGATGGCTCACATCTGTAATCCCAGCACTCTGGGGGGCCAAGGCAGGAGGATCACTTGAAGCCAGGAATTCAAGACCAGACTCAACAAAAAAGCAAGACCCCATCTCTGTAAAATAAAATAAAATAAAATGTGTTGGGTGTGGTGTCACAGGCCTGTTGTCCTGGCTACTCTGGATGCTGAAGTGGGAGAATCACTTGAACTCAGGAATTTGAGGCTGCAGTAAGCTGTGATTGTGCCACTTCACTCCAATCTAGTTGACAGAGCAAGACCTTGTCTCAAAAAAATAAAAAGTATTTCATGTCTATAGCCCTTATGTTGATTGCAAATAGCATTAAAAAATTGAGGATATATTCTTCCAATATTTGATTAAAGATATCAAAGGATGCATTTTTAAAAAATTATTTTACTGTAGAGATGGGGTCTCATCCTGTTGGTCTTGAACTCACACATTTTTCTTTTTTTTCTCTCTCTCTCTCTTTATGAGACAAGGTCTTACTCTGTCACCCAGGCTGGAGTATAGTGGCATGAACATGAGTCACTACAGTCTCGACTTCCTAGGCTCAAGAGATCCTCCCACCTCGGCAATGCCCCTCTATTCCCAAAGTAGCTGGGAAGACAGACACATGCCATCATGCCTGGCTATTTTTTCAGATTTTTGTAGAGATGGGGCTCCACCATGTTGCCTAGGCTGGTCTCAACCTCCTGATCTCAAGCCGTTTCCCCGGCTTGGCCTCCCAAAGTGCTAGGATTACAAGCATGAGCCCCTGCATTCAGCCCACACTTTTCTTCTGAAAGAAGATGTAAGAGGGTATCTATGTGGACAACAAGGAGGCATCTCCCAAATCCATTTTCAAGAAAGGTCTCATTGGCCAGCTGTAAGGAATGTGGAAAACTGTCAGCCTCTAGCTATTAGCTTTGGGTTTACCTCCGCTTTTAGCTCACATTCATGCTGTTCTTGTGGAGGCCACCAGACAATGAGTGAGCAAGATGGTAGTCAATGTTCAAGTCATTTCTACCCAACACGGGATTCCTTAGATAGGCAATCTTTGCTATGGAGTATCTTTTTGGTTCGTAGAAACTGTGTCAAATGTTCCTTCGGTTTGGCAGCCCAGTTGCTCTCTCTTTTTTTCATTCTTAGATGTTAAGCCCCAATAAGACTTTTGCACACCTGACTTCATCTCAGGGTCTGTTTCCTGGGGAACAGGAAACACCTGTCCCACCTTCACCAATCTTTATGACTTTGAGTTAGAACAGGATTTTTTCCTTTATTATTTAAAAAATCCTATGACATGAGTCCATTGCATTTTTGTTGGAATTGCTGATTAGGATCATGTTATGATAGGGATTGCATACAATTCCACTGAGTTTGGAATTTTGAACACTGAATTCAGACTCAGTTCTAGAAGCAATTATTTGCTGGAATATTAGGTGGAGTTGTCATGGCTGGGTGCAGTGACTCAAGCCTGTAATCCCAGCACTTTGGGAGGCTGAGGCAGGTGGTTTGCTTGAGTCCAGGAGTTTGAGACGAGCTGGGCAATATGATGAGACCCCATCTCTACAAAATATACAAAAAATTACCTGGTCATGGTGGCACGTGTCTGTAGTCCTAGCTACATGGGGCTGAGGTGAGACAAGTGCCTGAGCCAGGAGGTCAGAGCTGTAGTAAGCCATGATGGCCTCACTGTACTCCAGCCTGGGGGGTAGAGTGAAACCCTGTCTCCAAAAGAAAAGAAAAGAAGAAAGAAAGAGAAGGGGAGGGGAGGGGTGAGGAGGGAGAGGAGGGAAGGGAGGGGAGGGAGGGGAGGGAGGGAGGGAGGGAAAAAGAAAGAAAAAGGAAGGAAAGAAAGAAAGAAAATAAGTCATTTTTGGTTGGTAAAATTGTGGCGGAAATTTTTGTTTACTTATCTGTATTTTATTGTTGATCTATAATCAACTTATTCTACTTTTATGTGTTATGTAAAAAAGTATGTTTCTTTAGGATGGGTGTTTATAGCAATGGCTAGGAGCTTAAACATTAATTCCACTCAATTCAACAAACATTTGTTGAGAACTCACAAGTTGCCAGATGTCATTCTAAAACAGCAAGAAATTCAAATACAAGTAAAATTATCTTTGCTATTAAGAATCTTACAAACTAGAATCAAGGCAGAATACTTTGTAGAAGTGTTTTGACCACGTGATTGAATTCTATCTTATTCGATTTGATCAAATTAGCTTTGCTAAAAAACTTTTTATTTTCAGTTTTAGCTGGTAACACCATTACATCTAGAAAATGACCATCTCTAGATTTACTTAAGGGGAGAAATCATTCCTTATTGGTGACAGAATCTTTCTCACGTTACTTCAAAATGGCAGTAGGAAGTGACTGTTATGTGAGTGGAAAAATTTCTTCCAGTACTTAGCTAGTTAGCTGGGACACCCCTATCTACATCAGCCATGTCTGGGTTCATTCGCTGAGATCAGCATCTAAGTGTTGTTGCATCTATAAACAGAAAGTCCGTGCAAATATGCGTGGAGTGCTCTTCTCTTTATACCACACACGTTACTGTTCTGAAATCCCTTTCCTGATCTCCGATAATAAGCCCTTTCCTCCCGTCTCCATAGTGGCAAGATGAGTGCCATATGTTTAGAAATAGGAATAGGAATGAACATTGCAGCATTTCTTGGCAATAAAATAAGGTACAGTTTTTAAAAAGCGGTTTAGATTAATATTGAATGAAGAATATGTAGGAATGAAAACGAAACAGTTGTGTTCTAAAGCTTTAAAATAAGCTGACCAAAAATCCCTTATGACAGAGAGAAATATGTGTCTGATGAGGTCAGTGGCACTAGACTAAACTCAGTGATAGTGATGATTTAGAATGTGGCGTTGCAAAGTTTTTAGTTCTGTGTGTAAATTGTTAACACCCCCACATCCCCTGGATCTGAATTAGAAAAGATACTCTAACTCATCTCAGTCAACCTTCAAAGGAAAGCTAATCAGAAGAGGGGCTGGAGGAGAGGAGAGAGGACTAGTTTTATATCTAACCTGTCAGGGCAGTAGTCTCTGAATTTAGTCTTTCCAAACAGAAAAGATTGCTTATTGTTTTCCTTGCGGACCTATCACACATCTGGCAATGTCCCAAAAACTCAATTTATTCTCTAGGGTCTTAGAACCAGAAAAAGACAAAGGAGAGACTTTTCTCTCATGGTAACTCAGAGGAAATGGAATGAAAATCTTGTGCAGCTGTAGTTGAAAAGAAAAACCTCGAAAACTAAGAAATCCTCTCTGCAATTTATGTGTTTGGGCTATTTTTGAATTTAAAGTGGAGATTCCTGAGAAGAGACAATAATAAAATAGAGTTTAGTTTAGTAGTGTTTACTTAGTTGAAACTCTTTATGGCCAGATATTTGGGAAAGAAAAAAGAATGTGTGCAAAATCATGAGTTCCTGGTAGCTTTCTACAGTGTATATGGCCATGAACATGATGTACTGTCTCACACTTAGGCCATAAATCTAAGAATTCAGGCCTTGAAACCCCTGACAAGCCAAGGGACTGCCCTTTACACATTTCTTCACACTATCTTCACTTTCTTTATTTTTTCTTCATTATAAACACAAGTACATGAGGTTTATTTGAAATTCCAATTTATTACAAGTTCACCCTTTAATGGGGTCCTTCCTCCTTGAAAATAATAAACATAGCAAACAATTCAGGTGTCACTGAAGTGGGAACACAGGATTCTCTCTATGAACAAGAATAGACTATCTCCACCTCAGCCATGGTGCCTCTGAAATTGGCTGTATTGTGATCCCTCACTTAGCAAAACTAGTACATTTCATCTATTTTAATATTTGTTCACATTTTTATTCACCTGAAATGAAATTTACCTTGATGGCTCATCATAATTTAGTTGGCAATATTTCCTTTTGTTCTTGGTGGGACACAAAATAATAGTTCATTTTATAATAGATTAGAAAAATATAATAGATTAGAAAAATAACACAATATTAATGACAAAAATATCAGCTGCATTTTTGAGAACTTTCTTTGTACTAGTCACTGTGCTAAGTACTTTACAATTAGTATCTTAACTCAAGTAATTGTGAGAAAAATGTATGAGGATCAGTGTCACCTTAAGTATTAGAAAACTGAGACCTGGAGACTCTAACTTGCAAGAAACAAGGCCTTTCAGAACCAAAGTCTATCTGAATCGAAATGCTGTTCTCTTTCCCCTGTTACACTGCTTCTGAAATTAACCACAGCTGCCTCGTTTTACCCAGTTCCAATAATAAAAACAGCAACAATAACAATGATATAATAGCAGCAAACACTTATACGGCGTTTATGTGGCACACAGTGTTTATATATGTCTAAATTCATTTAAGACAACACACCTATAAAATCAGTATCATTATTATCCTTATTTCACAAAAGAGGAAACAGGCACAGAGGTATTGCCCAAGGGCAAACAGCTAGTCAGTGGTGGAGCCAGCATTGACTCAGGCAGGCAGTGTGGCTCCAGAGTCTTGAGCAATCCCTACTAGAATCAGCAAGCTTCACTAGGGACCTCTCCTGCATAAGAGCTCATGGCCCAGTGTCCACAGGCTTTGAACACTCTTCATTTATTTGTTTTTAGGGAGCAGAACAATTTCTATCTCAGTTTAATATTTTTGCCTCGTGTTCTATATGCCTCAATATAAAATATGCTTTTTATAGGTTGCAAAAAAAGTGGATCTAAGTCTCTTCCTTTGGGGGATTCAATTGAAATACCAAGATGTAGACACATAAAACAATTAAATTATAGGGTAAAAAGGAATGGAATTCACATATTTAGTACATAATATGAGCTAGGCATTTTGCCCAAGTTACACATATAATCCTCATAATAATCTATTACTGTTCCCATTTTATAGATAAAGATGCTGGGCAAAGGTGAGCGGTGTGAAATAATGTGAAGAAGGTCACGTTGGTAAGGACAGAGCATATACTTCAAACTACATCTGTCTGGTGCCCAAGCTGATACACAATGGAGAGCTAACATGTATGTGGACAATAAAGAGAATAATCAGAAGAAAGAGAAATCTGAGTTGGAATCCAATATGGGCCCCAGTAGTGGCATCTGAATAGGTCTTGAGGATGGGGACGGCATACTAGGAAGCTGTAGAGACTACCAGGAAAAAGCATGAAAGTAGGAGTAGCACACTGTATGTGAAGGACGGTGGCCCTGAAAGGGCAAAAGTGATTTTGCAGAAGCGGGAGGTAAGCTTGGTAATCGTTTGATTTCATAGTGCTAGGCTTTAGAAGAACACAAAAGTTTGAACCTGATTAGGAGTCATTGCAAGGCATTATAAGTCCCTGAGAATTGTCTGAAGGACAATGTCATAATTAATGAAATGAAATGATTATTTTGTGAACAGGAGATAGAACATATCCCTTGAACTACAACTGAGATTAATGGAAATTCTGTGGTTAAAATTTAAAATCTGGCAAATGATAAAGAATATTCAGGCAAGCTTTTGCCACAAATCTGCTGCTTAAAAAAAAAAGTCATAGACCCTCAAAATAATACCCAGGCAATTGAAAAAGCCAGCATGTGATTTACAATATGCCACTGAATTTGAAGAGCTTTGAAAGGAGGTTTACTTAAACCTCATGAACACAATGATTTAAAGCATGGAGTGGAGCCACTAGTGTGGGCTGAAGTAAGAAAGGTTATTGCAAAAACAGCTTGTCTTCTCTTGCATGGAAAAAAAAAACAGAAGCAGGGAGGGTCTGTACTCAATCAGCATGTCTAAATGACTGTATCACCCTAAAAAATGCAGGTCAACACTGGGCTTTTCAAAGTTAAGATGGATTTCACCTCCCTTCCTCTTCCCTCCTCCGCATGCTCAAGACGCTGTACCACCATCCTTTGTGATCACTACAGGATTGAATTGGTGATGAGCTGGAACTGAGATTTGGAACAGAACACTGTGAAATCAACACACCACCTGGGGCAGAAAGTCCAAGAAACATAAATTTCTTGGAAAATGACCCTATATTTTGGCAATCATTGCTGTGAATGAGAATACTTCAGAATCTTAACCCAGAATAAAGTAGAAGGCTTTGCCCCACAAACTCCTCTACAATATCTTTTACTATAATGTTTATCCCTGTCTCACACTTGCAGGAAAAATGATGCTTATTCCTGAATGACTTCGAAGGATTTTATACTATAAAACAATTTCAGACTTTATTGTGTGCTATTAAAACTTTAAATTCTTTTTCTCACTATAAAGATTTTCTTTTGAGGAATGTTATAAATGCATTGAAATGCTTTAAAATAAAAACACATAATAAATTTAGATAATCTACTAATATTTACAGTTTAAACGTTTCCGTTTTCAGGTGTTAAAACTTCATGTAGCAAGTCAGGCTAACCTAGAACCTCCTGTAATTAGGACCCCACAGTAGAAAAGAGACAAATTACAAGTGAACTACTTTTGGCATCTTCCTGATTGATTTCTCTGGGCAGAGTACAGTAGGGAGCCTGGCAAATTCCACTTCATTCTATAGTAAGTAGAGTGTGCAAGTCCAAAGGTCTTTTTCTGCAGAAATAGTATTCTTTAAAAGTCTGGAAAAGGCCAGGTGTAGTAGCTAAAGCCTGTAATTCCAGTGCCTTGGGAGGCCAAGGCAGCAGGATCGCCTGACTCCAGGAGTTTGAGACCATCCTAACAACAAAGTGAGACCCCGTCCCTCTACAAAACATAAAATTAGCTGGGTGGTGTTTGCCTATAGTCCCAGCTACTCAGGAGGCTGAGGTGGGAGAATCATCTGAGCCCAGGAGTTTGAGGTTTCAGTGAGCTATGCTCATACCACTGCACTCAAGCCTGGATGACAGAGTGAGACTCTTTCTCTATAAATAAATACATAAAAATACAATAATTAACAGTCTACCTGGGACTTGTGACCTGGAGTTTGGGGAATCAGAGAGAATAAGACACCCACTATGCTGCTTTGTTAAAGCCAGGGATGCCATCTTTCACCTCCGTGCTTCTTCTTGTATTCTCTTAATTAATCTCTGAAAAGCAAGTGATAAATACACGTGAAAATAACTTGAGAATGGGAACTCCTCTTGGAGTAAAGTTCTGAGTTCTAGACATAGCTCTGCCATTTAACAGTATGGTGTTGCACAGTTTTAACCTCTGAGCTTCAGGGTTTTTTTGTTTTGTTTTGTTTTTGGCAACTCATTAATTCAAGCAATATTTGCTGTGTGCCCTGAGTTAGGCACTGAAGTTACAGAAATGAGAAGTTTACACACAGATTCTGTCTTTGTAAAGCTTATAACCTATGGAGGGAAATAGATACTAAACAAACAATTGCATTAATAATGAGTTGGTTATAGTTTTGATGAGGCCAAGAAGGGACAGTACAGTAGAGATTGATACCTCATAACAGAGGATCCTAAGCTTGCTTTTGTGGGTTCTAAATGACAAAATGTGCCTGACACATAGGAGGTTCAACAAATGCTAGCTGAATCCGAAAGTATGCTATTTGACTGATAGAAAACCTGACAATACAAAAAACAAAAAGCAAAACCCAATGTATTAGTCCATTTTCATGCTGCTGATAAAGACATACCCGAGATGGGGTAATTTATAAGGAAAAAAGAAGTTTAATGGACTCACAATTCGACATGGCTGGGGAGGCCTCACAATCACGGCAGAAGGCAAAAGTCACATCTTACATGGTGGCAGACAAGAAAGAAGGAGAGCCAAAAAAAAAAAAAAAGAAGAGGCTTGTCTCCCCTTATAAAAACATAAGATCTCATGAGACTTATTCATTACCAAGAGAATAGTATAGGGAAAACCACCCCCATGATTCAAGTATCTCCCACCAGGTCCATCCCACAACACATGGGAATTGTGGGAGCTACAATTCAAGATGAGATTTGGGTATGGACAAAACCAAACCATATCACCCCAGGACCAAAGTTCTCTGATTGCTGTTTTAGTTCATTTGCTGCTCAGAAAACGATAGCAATCTTCTCATTCAGGAAGCTGACAGAAGAAAAGTGAAGAATTTCATGTAGCATGTGCTTTACCTTGAGGAGAGGGAGAGAATACTTCAAGGACTCAAATTTAGTATATCTCTTAGGTATAAATAAATCTTAAGGAATTCATGTAAGTGGCTTTTTTGTTCTCTCTCTCTCTGTGTGTGTGTGTGTGTGTGTGTGTGTGTCTGTGTGTGTGTGTGTGTGTTTACCCCCACACTGCTTTGGTGTCTTACCCAAAACGGAAGTCCTTTGACAAGTGATTTTATTTTCCTTAGAAACTTAAAATGTATAGCAATGACTCAAGGGCCATTGGGTAAGATATTTAATTGAAATAAATTTAATTCAATTTTGTGCATTTTACCACATTTCTATGTGGAAAAAAAAATAGAAGGAATCTGACCTGATAATTGAATGGAATCTTGTTCTACTAGCGTTCATCAAATGGAAAGATTATTCTGCTGCAAGGCAAAGTGCAGCTAAAAATGGATTATAGCCCCAAGAGGCAACCCAGGAAGCATCATAATGGCTCACCTGATGAACTCGAAATCTGAATTTTATGAGAAAAAATACTGCTTTCAGTAACGCAGTGGTTCTGTTTTTTTATATGATTGCTTGAGATATTTAGGATATCTTGTGTTATTGTGGCCATCTTTAAGATCAAGGAACCAAAACAAAAGAAAGAAGGAAGTTACCTCCTCAGGGAAACGTTATTAGTCAGAAGTAAGACCAGAAGTACATTTCTCTGACTCACAGGATTCAGCTTCAAGAGTCAGTGACCTGATGAGGGGAAATGGCAAAATAAAGAGGGGGATGGGGAGAAAAATGAAGTCCATAGAGAAAGAGTGGAGAAAGAAGTTGAAGGAGAGAAATTTTAAAAGAATTGCTTCTTCTATATTAATTTAGAGAGGCTGGAAACAACTTTATAGAAATTTTAATGAAAGTTACAATATCTGGGAAAATTTTTCACTGTTTCTTTTCTTTCTTCTTCTTCCTCTTTTTTTTGAAACAGGGTCTTGGCCAGGCACGGTGGCTCATACCTGTTATCCCTGCACTTTGGGAAGCCAACATAGGTGGATCACAAGGTCAGGAATTTGAGACCATCCTGGCCAATATGGTGAAACCCCATCCCTACTAAAAATACAAAATTAGCTGGGTGTGGTGGTGGCCGCCTGAGTCCCAGCTACTCAGGAAGCTGAGGCAGGAGAATCGCTTGAACCCGGGAGGCGGAGGTTGCAGTGAGCTGAGGTAGCGCCACTGCACTTGAGCCTGGGTGACAGAGGGAGACTCTGTCTCAAAAAAAAGGAAGAAAGGAAAAGAGGGGAAAAAAAGAAACATTCTCACTCCTGCTGCCGAGGCTGGAATGCAGTGGCACCACAGCTCACTGCGGCATTGACTTCCTGGGCTCAAGTGATGCTCCCACCACAGTCCCTATGAGTAACTGGGACTATAGGGTGAGCCACCATGCCTGGCTAATTTTTGTATTTTTAGAAGAGAAGGGGTTTTGCCATGTTGCCCAGGCTGATCTCAAACTCCTCCACCTAACTCAGCCTCCCAAAGTACTGGGTTTACAGGCAAGAGCCACCGTGCCCAGCCCTGATTGTTCCTTTGACTGTTTTTGAATGAAAACCCCAAAACACTGATAAGTTAAATGTTCAGAAGATCAAAATTTGGAAGAGAGAACATGATTTTTTTAAGTGAAAGCAAGTTTATTAAGAACGTAAAGGACTAAAGAATGGCTGCTCCATAAGCAGAACAGCGAGATAGCATGATTTTTAAAATGTTACAGATTGGAAAATTGGGCCAAAATAAGTAATATAAAATGTAGGATTGATAAAATTTAACATTTAGATTCTTACCTAATGACACAAATCCTGCCTACCCTAGCTTTGTTCAGAGCCCACGATGACATCATCCATAGGCTCTGTTTACTCCTTGTTCAGAGCCCACGATGACGTCATCTATAGGCTCTGTTTACTCCTTGTTCAGAGCCCACGATGACGTCATCCATAGGCTCTGTTTACTCCTTGTTCAGAGCCCACGATGACGTCATCCATAGGCTCTGTTTACTCCTTGTTCAGAGCCCACGAGGACGTCATCCATAGGCTCTGTTTCCTCCTTGTTCAGAGCCCACAATGACGTCATCCATAGGCTCTGTTTCCTCCTTGTTCAGAGCCAACGATGATGTCATCCATAGGCTCTGTTTCCTCCTTGCCGACACCCGGGCTAATGAAAGCGGTCTTGTCAGTGTATTCGTACCTCCTTCCTGTACCTGAAATTAGCATAGATCAAATGTGCAATAGAAGATGCCACACTCTAATCGTTAAGAGTGTGGACTTGGTCCTCAAAATAACTTTTCTTTGGATTATGCATCCTACTGTATGATCTTGAGAAAATTACTTAATCTTTCTAAGTTTCAATTCCTTCATTTAGAAAAATGTGATTCCTGATAGTAACTAACATAGAGGGTTGCTGTGAGGAGTAAGTGAAGTAACACATAACCCAGTAGTTAAATGCAGACTTTGGAGCCAAAATGCCTGAGTTTGAATTCTACTTCTACTAACTGTGGTCCATTTGATTTTAGGTAAGTTGATTATCTTCTTCATGTCTCAGTTTTCTTATTTACAATATAGGGGTAATACACACTGTCTATCCCATAGATTGGGGGGGATTAAATTAATTTAAGTAAAACACTTAGAATAGTACCTGGCATATAGAAAGCACCCAATAAGTGATTACGATTATTATTATATAATTAATCAATATATATTAGCTACTATCATATGTCTTTATTTTTAATATTATTACCACTATATGCATTATCTCCTGAGCAACAGAGGAAGCATTGACCTTAAACCTCTCTATATAATGGCTATTTTATGTGTCAAATTTCAATAACTCTTTCCCTTGTTTCTGATTTAAATTCAGATCTCTTCTGGTCTATTAGCCTCACTGTGAACCACAATTATTCTTATTCTCTCAGTTTGACCAGAATTCAGTTTCCCTCATCCCAGTTCTAGATGGTAATTTCAGGATCCTCCAACTATGGATCGGCCCTCACACCAATGAAGACAGATTTCTAAGGGATGGTGACTCTGAAACCCACCTGATGACAAGAATCTTCTCTTCCTTGGAAAGCCACCCATAGTAGTTTTTGGATATCTCTGCTAGTCTGGATCAAAATTAACTTTCAGGAGCCTTTAAATTTTTTTAGTTAGAATTCTACACCATTTTCAGGACCAGGTTGTGGAAACACCTAGTTGGCGATGGATGAGTTCTTCTAGTTCACCAGTCTCAACTTGTGACAGGCATCACTAATACACAACTAATTTATACTGACCTAACAAAAGGTTAGTGTATGGAGAGGAGAACATCTTTAAAAATCCAATATATGAATTCTCATTTTTAAAATACTGGGCATCAGTTTGATTAGCAGGAATTATTAAGAGTGTATCTAGTTCACTTTAAAAAACAATTATACTGTAAGTTCTGGGACACATATGTAGAACATGCAGGTTTGTTATATTAGGTATACACGTACCATAGTGGTTTGCTGCAACCATCAACCGGTCATCTACAATAGGTATTTCTTGTAATGCTATCCCTCCCCTAACCCCCTACCCCTCTACAGGCTTCAGTGTGTGATGTTCCCTTCCCTATGTCCATGTGTTCTCATTGTTCAACTCCCACTTATGAGTGAGAACATGTGGTGTTTATTTTAATGTTCCTGTGATTCCTGAGAATGATGGTTTCCAGCTCCATCCATGTCCCTGCAAAGAACATGAACTCATCCTTCTTTATGGATGCATAGTAATCCATGGTGTCTATATGCCACATTTTCTTTATCCAGCCTATTATTCCTGGGCATTTGGGTTGGTTCCAAGTCTTTGCTATTGTGAACACAATAAACATAAGTGTGCATGTGTCTTTATAGTAGAATGATTTATAAGCCTTTGGTTATATGCCCAGTGATGGGATTGCTGGGTCAAATGATGTTTCTGGTACAAGATCCTTGAAGAATCACCACACTGTCTTCCACAATGGTTGAACTAATTTACACTCCCACCAACAGTGTAAAAGTGTTCCTATTTCACCACATCCTCTCCAGCATCTGTTGTTTCTTGACTTTAAAAAGTCAGGAAATCACCATTCTAACTGGTGTGAGATGGTATCTCATTGTGGTTTTGATTTGCATTTCTCCAATGATCAGTGATGATGAGCTTTTTTTCATATGTTTTTTGGCCACATAAATGTCTTCTTTTAAGTGTCTGTTCATATACTTCACCCACTTTTTGATGGGGTTGTTTGTGTTTTGCTTGTAAATTTGTTTAAGTTCTTTGTTAGAGTCTAGATATTAGCCTTTTGTCAGATGGATAGATTGCAAAACTTTTTTCCCATTCTGTAGGTTGCCTGTTCACTCTGATGATAATTTCTTTTGCTGTACAGAAGCTCTTTAGTTTAATTAGATCCCATTTGTCAATTTTGGCTTTTGTTTTCATTGCTTTTGGTGGTTTTAGTCATGAAGTCTTTGCTGATGCCTATGTCCTGAATGATATTGCCTAGGTTTTCTTCTAGGGTTTTTATGGTTTTAGGTCTATGTTTAAGTCTTTAATCCATCTTGAGTTAATTTTTGTATAAGGTATAAGGAGGTTCAGTTTCAGCTTTCTACATATGGCTAGCCAGTTTTCCCAACACTATTTATTAAATAGGGAATCCTTTCCCCATTGCTTGTTTTTGTCATATTTGTCAAAGATCGAATAGTTGTAGATGTGTGGCGTTGCCTCTGAGGCCTCTGTTCTGTTCCATTGGTCTATATCTCTGTTTTGGTACCAGTACCATGCTGTTTTTATTACTGTAGCCTTGTACTATACTTTGAAGTCAGATAGCGTGTTGCCTCCAGCTTTGAGCTTTTTGCTTAGGAATGTCTTGGCTATGTAGACTCTTTTTTGGTTCCATATAAAATTTAAACTAGTTTTTTTCTAATTCTGTGAAGAAAGTCAATGGCTACTTGATGGAAACGGCAATGAATCTATAAATTACTTTGGACAGTGTGACCATTTTCACAATATCGATTCTTCCTATCCATGAGCATGGAATGTTTTTCCATTTGTTTGTGTCATCTCTTATTTTCTTGAGCAGTGGTTTGTAGTTCTCCTTGGAGAGGTCCTTCACATCCCTTGTTAGTTGTATTCCTATGTATTTTATTCTCTTTAGAGCAATTGTGAATGGGAGTTCACTCAAGCTTTGGCTCTCTGTTTGTCTACTATTGGTGTATAAGAATGCTTGTGAGTTTTGCACATTGATTTTGTATCCTGAGACTTTGCTGAAGTTGCTTATCAGCTTAAGGAGATTTTGAACTGTGATGATAGGGTCTTCCAAACATACAGTCATGTCATCTCCAAATAGAGACAATTTGACTTCCTCCTTTCCTAATTGAATACCCTTTATTTCTTTTTCTTGCCTGATTGCCCCGTCCAGAACTTCCAATACTATGTTGAATAGAAGTGGTGAGAGAGGGCATCCTTGTCTAGGGCCAGATTTCAAAGAGAATGCTACCAGTTTTTTCCATTCAGTATGATATTGGCTGTGGGTTTGTCATAAATAGCTTTTATTATTTTGAGATACGTTCCATTGATACCTAGTTTATTGAGAGATTTTAGCATAAAGTGCTGTTGAATTTTGTGGAAGGCCTTCTCTGCATCTATTGAGATGATCATGTGGTTTTTGTCTTTGGTTTTGTTTATGTGATGGATTATGTTTATAGATTTCATTATTTACCCAGTAGTCATTCAGGAGCAGGTTGTTTAGTTTCCATGTAGTTGTGCAGTTTTGAGTGAGTTTCTTAATCCTGAGTTCTAATTTGATTGCACCGTGGTCTGAGAGACTATGATTTCCATTCTTTTGCATTTGCTGAGAAGTGTTTTGCTTCCAATTGTGTGGTCAATTTTAGAATAAGTGTGACGTGCTGCTAAAAAGAATGTATATTCTGTTGATTTGGGATAGAGAATTCTGTAGATGTCCGTTAGGTTTGCTTGGTCCAGAGCTGAGTTCAAGTCCTGAATATCCTTGTTAATTATTTGCTCAATAAATAGACTCTATCAAATCCTTTTGGATATTGTTGTCTAAAAACTGTTTGCTTGGTTTTGATGAACTAATACTAATATTACAATTGTTAATATCTGCATCAGAACAAGAGACCTTGTTTTCTAATTTTATTTGCTAATATTAAAAAATATTAGCAAATATTTCCTAGACTTTTCATAAATGCCCTGTGTGGGATAGTATTTCAGTTGCAGCCTTATTTATGACAAATATGAAACTGTAAGTGCTAACTTGCTTATTTTTCTTGGTACACTGTACATAACTTGAACATATAAAAATAGCATTAAAAAATCTTAGCAATAACTGTTGGCATTAAATTTCACAACTTGAAAGAAGACTCTATTTGTATTTATTTATATTTTAAGAATAATGAAAGCGGCTGGGCATGGTGGCTCATGCCTGTAATCCCAACACTTTGGGAGGCCGAGGTGGGTGGATTATCTGAGGTCAGGAGTTCAAGAGCAGCCTGGCCAACATGGTGAAACCCTATCTCTACTAAAAATATAAAAATTAGCCCATCATGGTGGCAGGCACCTGTAATCCCAGCTACTGAGGAGGCTGAGGCAGGAGAATTGCTTGAACCCGGGAGGTAGAGGTTGCAGTGCGCCAGTATCACACCATTGCACTCTGGCCTGGGCAACAAGAGCAAGATTTTTTCTCAAAAATCAAAACAAAATAAAAAGAAAGAAAAGAAAAAATTACGGCAATACTTTTTACATTATTAAACTCTATTGAAATAAAATGTAGCTACAGAACAATGCATCAATTATAGGTGTACATCTCTACAACCTTTCCAAAGTGAACACATTCAGGTTACCTGCATCCAGATTAAGAAATAGGACATTATCAGAACTTCAATAGTTCCTGCTATGCCACCTTTTAATCACTACTTCCTACTAAAGGTAATCACCCTTTTGAATAATTTCCCAGTTTTTGAACTATTAAATTTCTTGTGTTTGGATTCTTTTACTCAACCTTATGTTTCTGAGAAGCATTCATAATGTTATGTGTATATTTGGATATTTTTTCATTGCTACATAAGATTCCTATATATGAATATGCCACAACTTATTTATTTGTCAATTGTTGGGAATTCAGATAGCTTCTGTTTGGAGGTATTTGAGCAATGCTGCTCTAAACATTGGAGCTCATAATTTTGATGGACATAACAAACACAATGTGTTGGCTATATATCTAGGAGTAGAATGGTTATTCATAGAGCATGTGTAATTTTATGGTATAATCTGTTTTTAAAACTATGTTGGGATGCTACTAATTGTCTGACAAATGTAAAATTAAGTGTCTTTCAAATGTACAGTGTTTAATAAAAACATATTATAATGTATTTCATTTAAGAATATGAATATACCTGTGGTGGGCAAAATAATATCTCCCCCATCTTCCCATAGGTGTTCACGTCCTAACCCCTGGCATGTGTTACCTTGCATGGCAAAAGAGACTTTGCAGATGTGATTAAATTGTCTTGAAAAGGGGAGGTTATCCTGGATTAGCCAGGTGGGGATAATCTAATTAAAAGAGTACTCATAATAGGCAGCAGGAACATCAGGTACAGAGAAGGAGATACAATGACAGAAAAGCAGAGGTCAGACAGAGAGAGAGAGAGAGAGAGAGAAAGAGATTTGAAGACTCTACACCACTGGCTTTGAAGGCAGAGAAAGGGGCCATGAGCCAAGGAACGCAGGTAGCCTCTAGAAGCTGGAAAAAAAGGTAACAGGTTCTTCCTATAAGGGTCATCAGCAAGGGACCGTAATCTCCCCAAGAGCCTTCAGAAGACACACAGCCTTGCAAATCTTGATTTTGGCGCCATAAACTCATTTCAGATTTCTGACCTCCAGAACTGTGAGATAACACATTTGTGTTGTTTTAAGCCATTGAGTTTGTTGTAATTTGTTACAGCAGCCACAGGAAATAAGACAATATCAAAAGTGATCCTTTAATAATCAGCTATTTTAAGCTCTACTTAAATGTTTACTCCTTAATGAAATCCCTATTTCATTTTAATATATAATTCTTTTTAACACTAATGATAACTCATTTTTAATAGTGAATAAACATAGGTTAATTTCAACTAAATAATTTTATTTATTTATTTATTATGTATTTTTTGAGATGGAGTCTTACTCTGTCACTTAGGCTGCAGTGCAGTGGCGTGCTTTTGGCTCACTGCAGCCTCCACCTCCTGGGTTCACACAATTCTCCTACCTCAGCCTTTCAAGTAGCTGGGATTATAGGTGTAAGCGACCACACCTGGCTATTTCAACTAAATACTTTTGAAAGCTACTTTGAAAATATTACATTTATTTTAGTGATACCATATTTATTTTTTAGCTTTTCTTCCATAGCTCTATTTTCCCACTTACTCATTTTTCTTTCTTTCTTTTTTTTTTTTCTTTTGGCACCTGTCATCTTTTTAATCTCGCTGTAGTTCAGTTTATATTCCAAGGCCACATTTTCCTTGCCACTCTCAACATCAGATATAGAAGAGTGGCTTTTTGTGCTGAAATTCAAGAAGGCAGTAATTCTTGGGCCTCTTTTAGATGTATTTCTAAAATATGATTTAGTAAATGAATTGGTGGGCATAGAACACAGAGAATTTTGGATTGAAAAAAATCATTGTATTATTAATTTCTTCGATCTCCATTTTAATTAAACTTGTTTTTTATCTAAATTTGGACAATATTAATTTGATTAGCCAAGTAGAGAGAAGGAAAAGACAAGAAAAATAAACACAGAACCTATTAATATTCTTTATCATCACCTAATCTCCCTAAATGTTTTCATCTTCTGCCACCTTTTCTTTTTCACTAGAACCTAGCCCCTCCTTAACCCAGCAAAGAAATAATTAATACATGGATAAAGACTTGGTATAAAGAAAAGCATGGTAATTAACTGTAAGTCCAGGAAACTTTTGGTTGCCAACATGTATTTCTGGAAATTAGAATATTGCCACAGTCGCCAAGGCTAAATCCCAAACCCCAAGACAGCAGCATGGTAGCATCTGGGTGGGGATTATCTGATTCTAGGGTTTTATGTTAAAATAAATCTCAGGGAAATCAGATCCTCTTTAGGGATTCTGAGGCACTGTGTACGTTGCAACGAAGACTCAAATGGCAACATTTTTTAAAATTATAGATACTGGTGTCTTTGTAGGGACATGGATGAATCTGGAGAACATCATTCTCAGCAAACTGACACAAGAACAGAAAATGTAACACCGCATATTCTCACTCATAGGCGGGTGATGAAAAATGAGAACACATGGACACAGAGAGGGGAGTACTAAACACTGGGTTCTATAGGGGGAAAAGGGGAGGGCCAGTGGGAGGGGGAGATGGGGAGGGATAGCCTGGGGAGAAATGCCAAATGTGGGTGAAGGGGAGAAAGGAAGCAAAACACACTGCCATGTGTGTACCTATGCAACTGTCTTGCATGTTCTGCACATGTACCCCAAAACCTAAAATGCAATAAAAATTTTTTTTTTAAAATTATAGATACTGTGTGTTTTTTTGGTACAGATTAGAGAGGAAATACTTTAACTCTGTCTTAAAGTAGAAAGTTGGCCATTATGGTGTTGTGAGTTCTCTATGTAATGAATCAGCTATAAAGATGAGTCATGAAATTGGAAAACATCATATAAAAGATGAATTAGAGAGTGATTATATCTATGTGTGTATGTGTATATATGTGTGTATATAAGTATATACGTATGTATATGTGTAAATGTATGTGTATGTGTAAAAAATTTTGTTTTGTAAAAGGATTCATAGAAAGTAACTGATACACTTAACATATGATTCTTACATAATTGGTGAATAAGATTTTTAAATCTTCTTTCTTGTTTCTCTGCCTCCTGGGTTTGCAGTCTTGTCTTGTTAAGAACTGGTCAGAAGTGAACTGTGCAATTAATTCAGTGCTGTGCACTAGTCAGAGTTCTTAGCCCTGAGATAGTCTGCTGCAGATTCCCTTTGCTGAACTAGTAGTCTTGGTCAGAAGAGAGGATATTGGATCAGGGTTAATGACTAGAAAGAAAATGTATGACTTCAGGGGAGTATAAGTAGGTTACCAACGCTGGGAGAGAAATGGAGAACATCAGGAAAAGAAACTCTAGAATATTTACTTTCTCTGAATCACAGAGATAAGGTGAACCAAGTACCCAAGTAGATTCAGGTTTTAGTAAAGGTCGAATTAAAAACACTGCATTCCTAGTTACCTCTTCCCCATGCTAATGACATTAAAATGAAAGAAGATATATGCAAATTAAGCAAATAGTAATTATAAGTGAGCAACGCATGGTCTAGTTAAGGGGGGTTAATCTGGGAGGTGTTGGTGCTACAGACAGAGATTAAATCATGAAGAAAAGAAGTGAAGTTACAGGTTAAAAAGGTAAAATAAAGCCTGCATGCTCAAGTGCCTATGATATGTTGGAGACTTTGGCTAAGTGTAGATAATAAATTCTGAGATTCAATATGAATATATTTTGCCTGGTTCAGTCATCTCTACTGCTGCTTGGAAGTAACCTTGGTCTAGGAAGTTGTAGATCCTCATTCTCTCCAAAGTCTGTACAATTCAGCTGGGGATTACAGAAATGGCCTCGGCCTATAGCTGCAATTGTTCCATCCGTCCCAGATGATCATTCTAAGAATTCCAATCCAGAATGAGAGTAGGAAGGATGTTAATTCTCTACAATTCACTGGCCTCTCCCCACAGACTGGGGTGAGCCTGATCATTAAAGAAACAATCCCAAAAATAGACTCCTCTCTGAACCCTAATTGGCTGATCTGGAGTTTTCCCTTATCTTTCCTCCTCAGTGTACCTCATCCTTTCATTTTGAATGAATTACTGCTAAACCTGTGAATGGAAAATGGTGTATGTACCACTGTATATGTATGATGGACCAAGGATTCCTCACTGATTTATGTACTATTGTACTTACATGATATTGCCCTTTTATATTAGGCCTTTTCTATCTTCAAGAGGCCATGACTTTTAGAACATATCTGCCACTATAAACTGAGATCTTCTGTCATCTTAAATAGTGTACCTCTGTACAGTAATTTGGGAATGT